TTGATCTTCCACAAATGACCCCTGAACAAAGGTGATCTGGCTGTGGTCCACATTGCTACATCTCATGCATCAGTAGTACAACAGGGCAGCACAGCCTTTGTTTCCTGAGTTAAGCAGTCTGTGCAAGAATTCCTTATGACTTTTTTACCATCTCTTTCTTGATTTCTGTGGCAGCTCCTCTTCCCCTGGGGAGTTTTTCTGGAAGTCGCTTCATAAGTGTTGTCAAACTGTGTATGCAAAGCAGGCGAGCAGAATGAGCACAGATGACGTTTGCTCTGGCAGGGGATCCAGCCCCGGAGCCCGCAGGGAATCAAACCCCGGAGCCTGCAGGGAATCAAACCCCGGAGCCTGCAGGGGATCAAACCCCGGAGCCTGCAGGGGATCCAGCCCCGGAGCCCGCAGGGAATCAAACCCCGGAGCCTGCAGGGAATCAAACCCCGGAGCCCGCAGGGGATCCAGCCCCGGAGCCCGCAGGGGATCCAGCCCCGGAGCTGCCGGCCGGATCCCGCAGTCTCCCCTGGCACAGGAAGGGAGCTGCTGACTCGGAAGCGGCTGCAGGACCGTGTGCTTGCTCTTCTCTCGGGCACCAAGAGGAGAGAACTGAGTATGGAGCTAGGAGGGTTCGGGCATAAGGTAAGGGTGAGAATAGTCAAAGCCAAAGCCCAGGGAGGAGGAGCGAGGAAGGATACTACAGAGCAGTAAACCGCACCCCCCCCCGCAAAAAAAAACCAAAAAAAAACCAAACCAAAAAAACCCCACACCACAACAAAAGAGAAGAGAGTAAAAGGGAGCGCAATAATGGGCATGCATTTCTCTTTCTTCTGCCCTGTGGCAAGCTGCCAATCTCTTCCACACAAATTCCTCAGTGCTACTAAAACCAGTCCCCATGGACACACCTGCCTTGAGACAAATTCTTTTAGTCTTGAAAAAATCTGGGCACTTCTTCAATAAAGCGCTTTGCTTTTAAACTGCTTTGCCTTTGTGAATTTTGGCAGCAGCTCACACTTGCAGAGCTTTTGAGAACCCTTTCTGTAATCAGATTTCCCTGCCCTGCCCCAGGGGACTGTGGGCGAGTCACTTCCCACAGCTGTCCCTCAGCTTCCAGCTCTGTGACGTGCGGCTCACCACTACCTCAAAAGGCTGGGGCGAGGCATCATTTGTGTGTGAAGAGCTGTGAAATCCATGAGGGTGACGGTGCTGAGCAGTACATGACATGCTGTGAGCCTAGTGTTACCATCAGCTCATCACTCGGGTATGGCAGGAGGTGGGGCAGGCACCCGAGTATAGTTTAAAACGCTTCACTGCCCAGTGCAAAACATCATAAAGTGAAAGAGGAGGCAGTAGAGTCATGTGGTGACAGGACTTATTTCTTCTACACATTTGGGCCAAGGTTTACGACCAGAAAACACGAACATGCTTAGGAGTACTAGCTAAATGCTCAGAAAAGAAGAAAAACTCAAACTGAGACTTTTCCAGTTCCTTCTCAAGCAGGCCATCTCCTAAGCCACCTCATGCTGGAGCTGTTTAGGGGTGGCAAAAATCTTGTGTTTTCACAGACAATAGTCTCTCTTCTTTTCCTATTCTGACCAAACTCAGACTAGGCTGTCCACAAGCATAAAAAAGAGTCCAAGTGATTTGCAGCATGGTGCAACAGAAAAGAGCATCACTACAATTCTGTGGATACATGGCTAAAAAAATGAGCGTTATGATTTCTGCCCATTTCTGCCCATCCTGATTTTCTTCTGAGTGAGGTTTCTAGTAATACAAGAGTAACCTGCTCCTTCTTTCCTATTTTGTCTCTTTTCTATAATTTCTAACCAAACCATTACCACATTTGCTCTGAGAAAGAGGTCAAGTATTGCTCTTTATGAGCCAAGTTGCCTGTGTTGGCTTAGATTTGGTCTTAATACCATAGCTGGAAAACATATGCTAAGTTTACCTCCTTTTTTTGGCAATTTATACCCTCTCCCCCATAAACAATCAATTACCAAGACAAGTTTTGAAAAAGTAGGGTCTGAAGATAATGGATGATATCATGAGTTATGCAGTCAAATTTTGGCTTGGCTGCAAATTTAGTTTGAAGTCTTGAGCAAGCCAGTTAAATTTTTCTCATCAAGTCTTCCATTAGCAGAAGCAGGAATAGTTACTTGCCTTGAAGAGATGCTGTAAAGACTAAGAAAGTCATTACATCGTTTATTCAAGATGTAAAAAATCTCTTAAGAATTATGTAGAAACCTCAATTAGGATTTATAAAAAGGCTATTTAAAAACAATGGGATAAAAGTAGCACCATTGAAACTAGTTAATTAAATAATCATGGTAGAAACTCCTCAGATATGAAGAATGGAACATAAATCTGCAGTCGCCTGGCAGAGTATATTCCACTCAGAAAAACAACTTCTCTTCATTCACTGTGGTGGAACAAAGTAATTGCAGATATATGAGGAAATTCTTGTACCCTATGATACTCCTGGATACTGCCTTCCACTATTATTGATCTTTATTTTTCATGATAATACTTTGGGCCTTTAGCTGGGATCTGTCCTGGTGTGGTTGGTACCACAGACACAGAAGATAATGAAGTGCACTGCCCTAAAGGGCATTTGGTCAGAGATCCCAAATGTCCAACAGTTTACATCACAATGAAAGGTGATGTGCCACTATGATTTTACACACGTGGTCAAATTTTCCCCTTTTCCCCTGTTTCATACAAAGCAAACAAGGCTGCTTATCTCAGTGTCTGGTTCCCTCCTCAGTGTTTGCTTGGTGACACACCAGTGTAGCGCAGGTCAGGTGCTGTTCTTGGCGCTATGGATCTGCTCATGTGATTATGTATCAGTAACGCTGCACAAGCTGAACTGGGCCTTCCAGGATGCTTTCCTCAGGTCATCCTGCTCTATGAGTGAGGAGGCACAATCTGCTGCTTACCCCAAGCATCCAGTTACATACAATGATCTTTGGAGGTGTGAAATAAACGTGCTCTCTGCTCTGGCAAGCTCCTTCTGTCAGTAGTAGGGACTAACTTGCCAGTTTACTAAGGCCTGATCTCCACCAGCCATGTCCATCAATCCAAGCTACTAAACTGAGTATGCTTTGCACAGAGGTCTGTGTGGATACTTGTTTTGTCAGCCTCATGGTCCGTTTTGTTTGTATGGCACTTTCATTCATAAAAGGTGTCAGTGAGACCTGGAATCTCTGGGGACAGAAAAAAACCCAGGTATTTTCAAATAAAACAGCCAGTTTTGTTCTACTTTAGGCAACTTGCAGAAGTGAGGAGCACTTCCATTGGTATCCCAGCCAAAAGTCACTCTTCTTAAGGCAGGTGCTGGCTTCTCCCACCAGCACTTGGCTGAATACCAAAGTTGTCCTGGGGTGACTTTATGATACTGGTATCCCCAGTCATCTGATTTATGTTATATATTAAGTTCTGCACCTTTAAGACTGTCTCTGAGAGTGAGAGTGGGGGGAAGAAGAAGCACACAGTTTGTGTTAAAGAAAAACATCACTCCCACACATCCCGCTCCTGGACTGTGGTGTCTGCAGCACGGACAGACAGCGGGACAGAGCTTCTCTCTGGCTTTTAGTTAGTTTTAGCTAGCTGAGGCAGAGGAGTTCCCTGGACCTTTGGTTTTTTCCCCTTTTTCCTGGATCTGTGCAAGCCTGCTCTGGACTGAACACCCAGCCAAACCCCAGGAGCTCAGGCCTGTGGCCCACCGGGGCCTGGGCCTCGGCACTTTCCAGCGCCAGAGGGACTGATAAGAACCTGAGCGAGCCGAGCTACACCACATGAAAAGGACTTTTCTTCCTAGACTTGCCATCCCATCGAACAGAGAGAGGTTTTATTATTTAATATTATTCAATTTCTGTTAAATAAACAGCTTTTCCTGCTTCTCTCCAAGGAATTTTTTTTTCCTTTCCCAGAGCAGTTGGGGGGGGGTGGGGGGTGTCATTTCCCTGGGGAAACCCCCATTTGGAGTTTTCCTCCCAAATTTGCCCTAAACTAGGACAAGAGTCCTCACAGGAACACCTCCCCCCTTTCTGAGAGAATCCTCTCCTGTTAGGAAACACAAGGAGAGAAGGCTGCCTGATTAAAGAATGCCTTTAAAGGTCAAATAACCTTTTCAGTAGCTGTGCAATAGATTTTAAGACAAACAAACATATAAACAAACAATGGATGAAAGTATATCCGGATAAGGGGGCACATGAATTCAGATACTGCAAAGGCAGTGATTTCTGTACAACCTGTGAAGACTCTTGCCAGCAGAGACCTGAGTATCTTGGGCATGCACAGCCTGGTCAGAGCAGACAGAAAATACAGCAGGTGATACAGGTTGCAAGGGTAACCCTGAGAGGCAGAGCATGATGCAGCACATGCAGCCTGTTAGTGCTGTTAGCAGACACCTCTGATGGCAATGGGACTGTCACCTGCTGTGACACTACATAAAAACAGAAGCACCAGGTGTTGGCTTCACTTGTGCTGCTTCACACCTCTGGTGGGTTTTTGCCATTCTGGTTTAGGCTGGCTGTAGCGATCATTGTTTCTATGATGTTTTTGGACTTGCAGAGTTATGATGTCAGGGAATTGTAGAGTTCTCCTGTAGAAAGCAGAAGAGAATGAAAAACTACAGAGCTCCAAGACAGAAGGAGCAGAAGTAAATTCAGTGCAGTAGAGGTCCATTTTCTGAAGACATTAAACAGCTTTAAGACTACACTAGTAAATGAACACACCCTTTTTATCACTGAGGCAACTAAAGTGGGGAGAGTGGAAACAGGCTGTTATAGGTAAAGCCAAATGAGATGTTGCCTAGTAACTCTCAGCAGGGAAGCATTTAAACCCAGCCAGTTTAGTAAGGCTGATGTTCTGAGTCAGAGATTATTTTCTCTGGAAAAAATTCTGAAGGAAGGAAAGCTCAATTTAACAGACATATTTTGCTGTTAGGGCAAACCATAATGACAGCTCTTGAGTGAATGCAGAAGTATTTACAAACTTGTACAAGGAAGAACAGACAAGGCATCAAAAGCAACGCTTTACCAAGCCTGGTTTTTGATGCTGATTTATTTCCTCCATATACAGGAATTTCCATAGTCATTTTTATTTTTTGATTCTGAAATACACAAGTGATAACAGAAGTCTGAAAATATTACACAAATCATTACATTATTATCATATAATTGCTGTAAGAGATGTTTCTGGAGCAAATCCTATTTCAACTCTGCTATTGGACACAGAATCAAAATAATTGATTTAAAAGAAGAAAGACTCCATGTCTCCACTGGTTCCATTGCCTGAAATAGTTTTAATTAGGTACTCCTTCAGGACTTTGCTTTTATGGGTTCACAGAAAAGTCACTTGGCTCAGCTAAAGGTCTCTCACACCAGGGGGAAAAAAGCCCCTCAGACCTTATTTGAAGATTCATGTTATTTTTGCTTCTCTTTAGAAGGATATGATGATTTTAAAGAAGTATAAGCTTTGCCATGATCAGCCATGTACATCTGTGTTCCTGAGTGCCACAACTACTGCTCAGAACAGGCAGTCAGGTTCAGGAGAGCACCTCATTTCAGCAGCCTCCTACAGTTAATGATGATACCTAGGAATGTGAACTATTGCACAGATTTATTTTTTTTTAATTAAAAAATACAATAAGCAGATCAACATGCCACAGTAACCATGAAAAGACAGACTGCCAAAGAGTTACAACAAAAATATGTATTTTATCAACAATGATAACAGCTGGAAAACAAAGCTACTACAGCATAATTACTAAAATTTGAGTTTTTCACAAGTGTGCTGTATGAGCAGAGAAAGAATGTTCTGCAAGCCAGAGAGAGCCACTTCTCACTGCCCAGAGCCTGGTTTGAAGTTTAATGAAATGCTGTTGATACAGAACCTCTGCCCAGAAGGTTTGGGTCCATCATCAAACACATGGCCTAGATGGGCATCACACTGCAACAGAAATTATTACCATTTTATTATTGTACTGCTACAGTATAACAATCATTTAGGCTGCAAAAGACCTCTCATTCATAGAGCCTATCTTTGACTGACCACCACCATGGCACTAACTGCCATGTCCAGTTGTTTCTTGGACACTTCCAGGGAAGGTGACTTCACCACCTCCCTCAGCAGTCCATTCCAATGATTAACAACCCTTTTCATATAGAAATTCCTGCTGATGTCCAGCCTGAACCTCCCTGGTACAGCCTGATGTCCTGTTCTCTCATCTGGTCTCCAGCTGCCTGGGAGGACAACCCCCAGCTGGCTGCACCCTCCTGTCAGGCAGTTATAGAGAATGATAAGGTCACCCCTGAGCCTCCTTTTCTCCAGGCTAAACATCCCCAGCTCCCTCAGCTGCTCCTCCTCAGACTTGTGCTCCAGACCCTTCACCACCTCCACTGCCCTTCTCTGGACTCTCTCCAGTACCTCAATGTCCTTTTGGAACTGAGGGGCCCAGAACTGAACACAGAACTCGAGGTGTGGCCTCACCAGTGCCAAGTACAGGGGGATGGTCACTGCCCTGGTCCTGCTGGCCACACTCTTGCTGATCCAGGCCAGGATGCCATTGGCCTCTTGGCCACCTGGGCACTGCTGGCTGATGTTCAGCTGCTGTTGAGCAGCACCCCCAAGTCCTTTTCCAACTTGCATCTTTGCAGCCACTCTGCCCCAGCCTGTAGCACTGCAGGGGTTGTTTTGAGCCAAGGGCAGGACCAGGCACGGGGACTTGGCCTTGTTGAACCTCAGCCCTCTGGCCTCTGCCCATCAATGCAGCCTGTCCAGATCCCCCTTGCAGAGCCTTCCTGCCCTCCAGCAGATCAACACTCCCACCCAACTCAGTGTGTCTGCAGACTGACTGAGGGGGCCCTGGATCCCCTCATGTGGATCATTGCTGAAGATATTGAACAGAACTGGTGCCAGCCCTGAGCCCTGGGGAGCACTGCTGGTGACCAGAAACCATTGTCATTGCATTATTACCACTGAGATTATGGACCAACATTATGTTGGTACCTACTGTGTTATCCTGAATTAAGAAACATTCATGATTAAATCACTGTTGAGTTGTGTGAGTGAGAGTGTCCTTGGGAGTGACAAGGAATCAGATCTTGTCAGTGGGCAAGTATCTGCCCCCAAACAAGCAGATCCCAGAAGTAGATCCCAGAAGGGAAACTACAAAGGTGCCAGCAAGTATAGGAAATAAATGAGAGTATTAGACACCTCAATATATCATGAAAATTTCAAAATAATTAATAAATCACTGTAGGTCATTCTCACAAATCAACTGAGTATTCCCCTCTCAAATTACTAAGGTGAAAAAGTTAGACACAGTATAGCTATCAGTGACATTATAAAATTGGAAGGTCTTCAGCTGGGGTTCTTGAAGGTGCTTGCTGCATATGGCTGCAAACGTGAACTCTTCCAAGATAATGCTGCAAATTCTTGTTACATTTGCAGATGTGCCTAAGCCTGTTGTAAGCACACTGAAGGACAACATTAACAATCTTAACAGTTTACAAAAACAGACACACACACATATATTAAAAAACACAAATCCAAGATACAATTCATTAAATTCAATCACATACTTTTATACCTTAACAAAAGTAAGAAACAGAGTTGGGAAGAACTGGTTAAGGGTGGCAGTTCTTTAGAAAAAGAACGTGGGTATTATATCAAGTATATATATAATAAATGTGTGTCTGTGTAATATGGTCTGTGTAAAGGTAAAGCTGTAAGAACAGGAACACCATTTTTACACACCTGAACTGCCTCTAACCCCTGCTGTAGGCTAGGCCAGCTGCAGTGCTATGTCCAACCTTGCAATCTACTTCAAGAAGGAAAAGGGTCAACTGGGAAGAATGTAAAACAAAGCAACAGAATGATGAGCACACTAAAAAGCACTGCATAAAAAGGAACTGGACGTTTCTAGTCTAGAAGAGATGACGGAGGGAGTCAAAATAGCAAGAATAAAGAGAAGAATGGCTTCTGTGAAGCCAAAGGAATCCACAGAAAATAGCTGTGGAGATGCAGGGCACAGCCACCACCCAGCAGGGCAAATAGTAATGGCTGCAAATGGCTTTAATGGCTGGTGTCTCAACCTCTGCATATTTTAACATCTACAGCAAATATTTAGCAAGACTGAATGAGGAAGAACTGTCCCTGTGATGGGCCAAATGTATGGACCCTATTCCAGAGTTTCTTCTACCATCTCTTGTCACACCTTGCAGCATACCTTGAGTAAATTTTCTGTCTGAAATCCAGCCTTTGGCTATACATACACATTGCTTTCCTCAGTCACATACTTTTCTTCATCCAGACTGAGAAAGAATGGCTCCAGTAATACTGTAATTCTTACTGCTGCATTTAGGCAGATTCATTCATGAGCACAAAGAGAACTTATCTGCTTTCTGTCTTTGTGTATCATCTACAAAATAAACATACCTGTTTGCAGACGACTTCAGTTCTAGTTGACCCCAGTGAGTTATCTGGTCGTCTCAGGATATTGGTATTACTTTCATCTCTGCCACAAGTACCATAAGCCTCAGAAAAAGATGGCCATCCAGTCCCAGAATTGTACTTCTTCTCTGAGCTATAGTGGAAACCAGATCTTCTTGTTAATTAATAACAGAGATGTTACAAAAGAGTCTCCTTCTGTTAAGAATATTGGCTCAATTGCCTCAGTCCTGTGTTGTACCAATATTAAAAATATTTGGAACAGTAGAAGTTTTCTCATTGGCATCAAACTGCTGGAAACTCTTTTCCAAAGGGAATTCTCAATCAGCTCATAACAGGAAAATTTGCTTCACTGTTTCTATTTCAATGACAGTTTAGTGTTTTATAAAGCTTAGAAAAGTTTGGGGTTTTTTTCTGACAATTATGTTATACTAACATTATGCTATAGTGTTTAGCTGAATTACACCTACAGAGCTGCAGTTTGAAGCCTGGCCCAATCCAGCAATCTCACTGAAAAGAGTTTACAAGAAGAAATAAAGAATGGACAAAGGCTGGGCTGGCCCACCAGACCAGGCTCGTGCCTGATGATGATAGAGGCTTTGTCTCTCAGTAAGCCATCAAGCTGGTTTGGAAAATCAAACAGAGCCTTGCTCAAACCATCAATCAACCAATGACAAATCCTCACAGCACAAAGATCTACCTTTCCCGAGAGAAAACTGCAGCCATAAGAAACAGCACAACATAATGTCAGCTTGTGGGTGCCTCCTGTTAACATCCAGGGTGACCAACACTGTTCAGTTACGTATTAAAACCTGGAGTGTACTGGTAAATATGATCAAAAGATGTTTTAGGGATTTGGTACAGAAACGAGATAATCCCTCCTGTTTAAAATTGTGCAAGCTTTGACAACAATATGAACCTTCTTTTATAAAAGAGGAACCTAGCATGAGTTAGAACAAGAAATTATATGATTTATAGGTTCACATACTTCTCAGATAAGTGGTCTGGAGACTCACCACAACCATTTCCTCACAATTTCTCATGTTTTTTTTCACAGTTTCACAAACCCAATGCTTTTACTGGCATCTAGTGGTGGATGGAGACATCAGCACCACTAGCAGCCCTTGATCTTCATACAAATTGAAACGTTAGTTAGGACAGAATTTAAAACAAAGTATATAATACATATCACGTATATATTGGTGGGTTATTCACACGGTGAAGAAAAATCTGAAAATTAATTGCAGTGCCGTTTAGAAAGATAAACAAACTGGACAAAAAGGTTAAAAAATCCAACCCAAAGAACAGTGCATAAATCAGCATTTTTATAATCATCTGTATGGGGCTGTTGAGTAACGCAGCAGTGGAAATAAAAGAGGATTTGCTAGCACATAATGACCAAAGGCTAGTTTTTGTGTGGGCTGTTGCTTAGTCATTTACATCAATGCACAAATAGCCATGAGAAATGCTCTCCTTCCCCTCCTCTCCATAAAACTGGAGAAAAATAGGACACAGCAGAGGAGTAGCCTGCTCTGAAGCAAATGCAGTTTGCAGACTCTGTGTTTGTACATCAAGGTACTTAGGGCTCCTGTTTCTTTCCAGCCAAAGGCTCCCTGTTTTCCCTGCCACAAAGCCACATGAACACTGTCCCTATCAGCCACAGAGTCCCCAAGAATGACCTGGGGGGGAGTCATACCTGAGTCCTGAGCTTCCCTGACATACATCTGTTCTGTTTCTTTTCTATCAAACTCTATTTTTCTATAAAACTCTATTTTTCTTTTATTTTTTTTTTATACAGGAATTGTTATGTTTATTCACACATAGATACAAATATACTCTTTGAAAACCCATAGAGTCAAGGAAGGTCTTTAACACTGTGGTGGTTTTGAATCTGACCCTGAAAGACTGTCTCTTCCATACTGCTCACAATACTTATTTTAGATGTTTTCCACTGCTAAAGGAACAGTCTTTTGAGCTGTTAAACTAGCTCTCAAGAGAAATGGTCTCTGTGTGGTTTTATTAACAGTAATGTCACTTAGATTCTCAAATAGAAACATTTTAGTACCCAAAAATATTGCTGTTCAAGTTCATATTTGTCCTTTGAAGTATTTCACCACTTAATTTATGGATAAATGGACTTTCCCTAAACATATGCATTAGATTAGACCTCGACACACCATTCCTCCAGCACATGCCATTTACTTTGATCCCTATTTCAGTCATCCTGGATGGAATCCAGATAATTCTAAAAAGTGCTTTTTGCTGTATGAATCTCAGCTGTAGGTTTATGGTTTGATGAAGGTTTGAGATTTCATTAAAGCACTACAATTTGCTATCTATAAAGGTTAGGGGTTTGTTCCATGTATTTCCAACTCTTTCAAATGTATATTTGGTAGCAGAAGGTAATAAATTCTGGTATAAATGTATACACATATGTTTCAAAGAAGGGAAGAAATAGGTCATGTTTACCTGTAGCTAATGAGCTAATGCATTTGAAAAAAAAATAAAAATTAATGCACTAGGAAATAAATATGATGGATGAATCTCTCCTCTCACCCAATACCATTTCTCCCCTCATTGCTTGTGTTCTCAACAGCATAATACCTGCATGGAAAATATATTTTCAGATGATTTCTCACATTTAATAGTTCCCAATTTTCTTACAAGGCTTTTATTATTTTATTTTTTTTTTTTACTGAAAGCTTGACTTTTTTGGCCTGTGAAGCTTAGCATTATCTTGTGCTGCAAAGAAAAGTGCTTATATTCTCTGGGAGCTGAATAGTGCAAAGGGCAGCCTGACTGGTTATATTGCTATTTTGTTACTAGTTTAACAACAGAAGCAATTCCCTCTAGTGTTTGTCTCTCTTCATGTTGGCCTGTCAATATCAATGATGCTGAAATTGAAGGAAAATCTGAAGGAATGGAAGGAACTCTTCCACAGTTTATTAATTTACAATTTCTCTAATTTACCTGAATTTTCCAGAGGTGTTTTTAGGTTTTAAATTTATCTTCAGGATATTTTGTAGTGCTCAGCTAACATCACAAATGAATTTATTTAGAACTGTTCATAGCAAACCTCTACAGGAAATTATACATTTAAGCAAATCCATGTTTGCATAACACAAGTTTTCTGCACTTGACCAAAGGAAAACTAATTGTAATTTACACAATTATAATTTAATTGCTTAGTTTAGGTTTATTTTCAATACATCCATTGCATTTCCCCCTCCTTTCTTACTATCCAGATCTCTTGATCTGTAGCGTCCCATGTGAAGTTCTGCTCTGTGATTCATCCTTTAAATCAGCTACATTTCATTCTCAGTTGGGAATAAATAAGGGCTATTTTCTAGACCAAAAATATGAGAAACTGTCCTTCCTGATTCAGTTACAGAGAACAGAACACCCTCTGCACATCCTACTCCAAGGCACTCTATTTCCTTTTACTTAGACGTTAATGAAGTTGCAAAATATATAGTATTGTAAAGAGCAGAGAGGTTAACTGTGCAATCATTTGCAGCCAAGCTTTAAAAAGTAGATGTAGCCAAAAAGGCAAGAATAGTGGAATTTAATTTAGGGAACAAGGAAGGGGTGGGGGTGAAGAGAAGGTCTCAGCTGTAGTGTGAGGGACCCAGCAATAAAAACATCACAACTGTAGACAAAGGCAGACCAAGGTCTCTCCAGCCCAGCAGCATGAGTGGCAGAAGACAAGTATGGAAGAGCACAAGAACAGAGCAAAAACAATGATACTCATGCATAAATTCATGTATATTGCAGCAGATTGTGGCTTAAGGACCTTTTAAACAGAGAATTATTATCAACCAGAAAGAAGTCTCAGGAGAAACAGGCAGACTGCAGTGTAACTGCTGTGTGCTGGCCACTGGCAATACTCATCAGCTCAAGAAAAAGGCATACCCTGTATCTGTGTCACCACAGGCACCTGGAAGACTTACACACAGCACCTGGGCACCAGGGGATGGTTCTTCTGACCAATGTTTTCTATGCCATTCATGAAAATACATTGCCCTTCCTGCCACAATCAGTACATGTTAAAGATGCTGCAAAATCCAGGGGATGTTACCTGAAGAGGGGGGCATTGCAGCACACGCAGCAGTATATTCCTGATTCTGTGTTATTCAGATAGATCCCACTGAAAGGCTTTTAAAATAGGAAGGAAAAAAGAGAAGTTAATAATGCAGGTCTTTAAAAGCTCACCATCTGGAAGAAGCATGTAGGAATCAGATTCAAAACAGGAGAAAAACCATAAAAAGGAGGCTTTGCAGGGGGGCTTTGAAGAACAAACATTAGCAGCCCAAAGAAATGAAGGGGAGTTTGCCTTTGGATTAGTAGTGAAGACTACCCCCTACTCCCACAGACTTTGAGACCAGTCAGATGCATAAATCATCCAGGTATCAGGAATGGAGTCGTGACCTCCAAGAAACTGGTGAAATGTGCAGGATCCCAAAGGCCAGGGCTCTGCTATAGACTGCCACAACTTTAAAATGGCTTTACAAAGGGGCTCTCCTCCTTCCTGCATGGTCCGGTATGGGATCCTTATTTAACTGACATGAATTTGGGTACAGTTCACATGGTACGTGCTCTCCGTGTGCAGAAGGCCTGGCTCTGGGCTAGGGACAACCAACACTCCACCCTATGCTACCTGGCTTCTTTCACAGAAGGAGGAAACATGGGGACATGTGGGTGGGTGATCTGGTACCTGAGGGAGAGCCCATCTCCTGAAGGAACTGCTGTGTTCAAGATTTACATGGATAATCTATATATGGTCATAAAAAAGATAAAAATATGATCTCCCTGTCCTCTGGAGGGGCCTCTACTCCCACCACACAAACAACTGTTAGTTTGATCTGGCAGCAATGTATCCCAGGAAAAAACCCAATAAAATATGAAAAGAATGTGCAATGTTTTTTCATCTGCAAAACAGTCTGGGTCAGAACAAAATCCATCCTGTTCCGTATGCTGGGTCTAACTTTCATCCACAGGAAGGCAGGGGAAATCCTGTGAAGAAACTGAGTGGTGATAGCTCCCCAAGGCAGGTTTTTCCTGTGCCCAGCAGTCAGAAGAGATGGCTCACCCTTGCATAGCATTAGCAGTTTTGCTCACCGGTTCAGTTCCTTTTTCTCGTGTAACATAGAATTGCTCCGGAGTCAATTTTTTTTTCCAGTCTGTAGCAGCAGCTGCTTCAGCTTGTTTAGTGAGGGGGCCTGTGTCTTCAATTAGATATAGAAAGATAATTTAGTAAGATAGCTTAGATTCCATTGATGCTTTCCATCATGATCTCGGTCCTCCCAAAGCTTCTATGGGTACAGACAAAGCACAGAGGGCAGTTCAGGGACATGAGCAGGGGCAACCGCAGGACTTTGCATCTGCTTTCCATTTGATGTGCTACATCCAGAGAGCAGCTCCAGCAAACCACTTGGGAAGGCTTGTAAAGGAAATGGGCACCTATGACCCAAGGTACCACCCACTCTCCCAGCACAGCCCTCTGCCTTGGCACAGGATAACTGCTGGTCTGCCAGGGCTCCTTCTTCCCTGGGGATCACTAAAAGGCTTAGTAAACCTCTTGGAAACCCTCAGAAACTAGAAGTAATGTTTATCTGTGGGCTGTAGAACATTGGCAACTTCCACAGGCCCCAGTGACAAGTGATGTTAAGAAGGGGGACTGGAAGAAAGCAACACCTAAAACCCAAGAGAAATTGGGATATAGTTTAGTGAAGGACACACAAGAGCAGAGCAGAAGTTGCCCATTGTGGTGCAACAAACAACCTCCAGCAACATATCCTCTGAGTCTGTACACACCAAAACCACTTATGGTGGTATGGGATTGGCAGAGAATTAATAGACCAGCTGAAAAATAGAAAGTAAAATAGTTTAGTATGTTCCCAATCAAAAAGTCTGAGATGGGGAGCTACCTCCTATCCTGTCTCCTATCAGCACAGGATCCTTGTAAAACAATCAGCTCCCGAGGAATGAATGTTTGCCTGCATTCATCTCTTGCAAGGTAGAGGTGAGACCGGGCGGGAGGTGGGGGAGGAGCAGGGGGAAACGAATTTGAAAATTATAGTTTAACCAAAAATACCTAGAGCTTAACCTGCCAGTTTAAGACAAAAACCTACAGCATGCTAATGCAGCCTTTCCTAACTGGCCAGAAGACGGCGAGCGCGGGGATGCCCTCTCCCCCTGCGGCAGGTACCTGTGCTTCTGTGCGCAGCGCGGGCGCAGCCGGCGCTCGGCAGCGGGGAGCGGAGCAGGAGGAGCAGGCGGCAGCTCCCGAGCATCCTCCCGAGCGGGCGAGCCGCCATAGCTGCGGGGCGGGCCCGGGAAAGACGCCTGCCCTGTGTAATCCCGGCGTTCCACCTAAAGAATCAGACCTCATAAAGGCAATGAGTAAAGCACCCGCTTAAATGCCGATGCAGCATTTGCAGGTAAAGGTTTCAATCACTTCTTATCGAGAGGCAAAGAGACCAGCTTAAAAATGAGCACTCACTGCAGCCGTAAATATAACAAAGTCCTGTTGAGATATTTGCTTGCAGCCATTCCAGGCTGGTTTTAAGGAGAACGGGTCTGGTACTTGCATGCAAAAGCGCTCTTGCTGTCCTAGATGCGCATTACAGGCATTGCTCTCAGCGCTGTTGATCGAGGAATGGAGAAGGGGCCGTGCCATCTGACGGTTTCCTGTTTTCGTGGGGTGATGTGCAGTCACAGCTGCCTTGGCTTGGCCTATAAATATACCTGTAATAGGAGACGTGTGTTAGTTTGGCAGCCCACCCTTAAAAGGTAGACCTAAACACGAGTTACTTTCCTAGGGTGAGCATTAATGCTACTGTTTGTTTTTCTTCCAATTCTGATTTGGAATTAGTTCATCATTTCAGAAGGATGTAATGGTTTTGATTACATTGGATAACAAAGCTAACAATGATGTTTAATTCAAATTTACTTTCTTTTAATCTAATTCTTCTAGCCCAGTTCTAAAATTAAACCAAAAAATAGTCTTGTGTGATCAGCCTATATATATACATTTGTATTGAACCATCCTTATGCCTAAGACAGTGAGTTCCACGGTAGCTGAAGACGTCCAACACAGCATCTGATCAGTACCATGGCTGTAATCACTGCCTCTGCTTGGATCCACAGAGTATTGCACCAAAGGATGGATATCAGCAAGGCTCCTGTGTGGTTCAAACACTGTTGGCAGTGTCAGGGGGAGCAGGGCACACAGCTGATTTACGGCTTTGTCCTGTGTAACAAGACTCAGTGGAGTAAAGCCAGACTACCTGGATAAAAATCCTGGGGTGTGATGCCTGTGAATCCTCAGGACTGTGACTTGTCAGGAGAGCAGTACTGCTGACAGGGAGGAAAGGGCTTTGCCACCCCACTTTGCTGCTGGCAGAAGGCAGCATCCATGCTGTAGGCAGAGGTTCAACATTTTTCCATGTTCAGCCATTTTGGGAAGTGATGATCCTGTGATGTTTCCTAACACTTTCTACCCCTATGGCATCTTATATCAGTCATGGTTTAGGAGGGACTTGGAACATGTTAGGGAGCCTTTAGTGAGGAGAGACCCAATCTGACACTTCCCCAGTTCTGGCAAGTGGCTTAAGACTAGAAAGTGATAGCAGGTGATGGTGTCACTCCTGGCTTCTGTCACCAGTTCAGCTGTAGAAAAGAGGCATTTCTCTTACATTCTTGGTCTTAACCTTGTTCAGATGGTGTTTGTTCCTGAGGAGGACAGGTAATCAATAGAGTTCTCCCTGAATTATCTGAGAAATGAAGGAGGGTGAGAGAAAGTGGTTAGTCCTGAAACTTGCATGTTTTCATGTGATTGACATTGATTTAACTGGTGCTTTTTTAAAAGACAAAATTAAATAAAAATGAACTGTCAGTATCTTTCTTGCAGGTCTCTGTTACTGGTACCATCCCAAAATACAGCAGTCTTGAGGCAGTAGGAACTCAACCAACACAGGTCTGCTGCCACACCGCTTTCCTCAGGTTCTGGAGAAGGGAAGTGGGTGCCTGGGGGGCAGTGGGAGTAGAAGCACAAGGCATCAGGCTCATCAGCCCAAGCCTTATCATCCTCTCAGTTACCCAGCTCACTACAAGCCACTCCTTGATTTAAATGAGGGGCGTGGTGGAAGAGGCAGATCCCATTCATCCCAGCAGCTGTGATGCACATTTCAGGTACTGCATGGCAGAGCAGCAGAAAATCCTCCATTTTCCCCTGCAACAGAAGCCTGACCTGCAGTCATCCAAACCAGCATGACAGGTCTTCCTCAAGTGGAAAACAACCCCCCCCAGCTGGAGGTAATTCATTTTTCAGATCTTCAGTGCTGAAAAACCAAATCATTGTCCTGTCATGCCTGTAATGTTGCCTCCCATGGTTACAGCACACACCAAGCCGTGTAGCTAGGCAGACATCCGGCCTGCCTTTCTCCCCATAGACTGTTCTGAAAGCCAATTAAGCTGTTACTTAATTTTCCTCCTATTTTTTTTTCCTCCCTTATGCACAAGGGGAAGCATTTAAAAATCTCCCCTAGCTACATTATGTAAATTTTCAAGTAAATTTTCCCTGACTTGTAATTCAGCAGATTTATTGTTAAAAACGTCACCTGTCTCCAGCATGTACACAAGCTGCACCCAGGGAAGGGTCACTCACCAAGGCACAGTGTCCCCTTAGACATGAGTAGATGGGGAGAGGCTCCTCAGCTCTTCCCATAGTGTGGCTCTGTGCCGAGGCAGCAGCAGCATCACATGTGTAGGCGAGAGCAGGAGGGAAGAGGGAAGCAGTCACAGTCCAGACTATCCTGCTGGTATTTCTTTGGGCTCCAGCTCAGGCTCTGTCTTGACTGATGGCTGTGGGGACAAGCAGAGCATCACGTAATGCCTATGCTGGCATATACTGAGCAGTCAGCCAGGAAGCAATGAGGTGCAGAAGTGAAAAAAAATCCTGTTCAAATTCAAACCTCTGCTTACGCAGCTTCTATTAATAAAGCCCCTTGACATTATCATGTATGGCAGAAAACACTGAAATGGTGGTGATTTTATTTTGTAAGCATTTGCATGTAATTGGTTTTCCTCTGCTCAATTTGTCAGACCTAAGGTATGTCCCCTCCTACAGGAAGGTTCCACTGAAACATGTGGGAGCTCACCATGCAACAATTTGTCTTGGACCTGTTGTATCTAGGGATGCTGTGTTCTCAGGTGCCTGGGGAGTGAAGAACAGGGGTTTGGCATAAGCCCTTCAGTGGTGGATTGTATCTGTGGGGGGCTCTGTTTTTTCCATGGAAACCCTCAATACTTTTGTAGGAGACACTTCAGGAACCTCACATCCTTCCTAGGATAGAGTCTTCTCTCTTCTTTAATAGACTTGAAACAGCTCCACATCCAGCCTCTAGACACTCAGGTATGATGAAACAATAAGCTCTTGTTATATGGAAGTACTGTTTCCACTGGAAAGTGGAAATGGAATGGAAACACTATCTAAAGATATGTGGTAGTGCTCTGATGCTGAATTCCAGAGACAGAAAGCGATTTTGGCAAAATTTATTAGAAGCAGAACTGTCAAAGTACCTTGGAAAAGGGTACTGCTGGTTTCCAGAGACACACAGACTGAATGCAGATCTCCCTGAAGCTGATCTATGGGTTCTGTTTAGATTCATTTATGGAGCAGCCTGATGTGATTCAGGTCAGACATCATTAGAAATAACAAACACACTACTTCTCACTGTGTTTGCTTTATGGTTTAATAGCTCTTTTAGCTAATCATTAGCTATAGGATACCTGATTATTCTAACCTTTGTTTTGGAAAGTAATAGGTCTTATTTGTGGACTAGCTTAAGTGGGAGCCTTCTCTTGGATTCTAAGGGTGGAATTTGAACAGAACAGGACTGAATAGAATAGCTCCAGTTGGAAGAGACCTACAGGTTTGGTCCACCGTGACAAATGCTTTGAGCTGGATTAGACAAAATACCCTCCACAGGTCCTGTCCAGTATAAATTATTCTAGAATTCTAAATGCTTTGAGAATTTTCTTGCATAACAAGTGAAGGCATGAATTCTAAGTTAAATAGTTTGCAGTCACTCCTTGATAGAAAACTCAACTCTGTAACTGAGACATTGGTTCAACTAAAAGTAGACATGCAGTCTGATATGGAGTATGTGTATCTTCAGGGGCACCTATTGGGAAGCAACAAATCCAGGTTATTTCCCTGCATTGCCCTATGAATCCCCCATAACATACCATCCAAGTTCCTTGAGTGATACAGACAGTAATAATACATTCCACAAATTTGTGTGTGATTTCTTATCCCTTTTATCCCAAAGTAGTGAAGAACTTTGATGGTTCTTCCACACAGTACCCAAAGCCTGAACAGAAAATTGAATGAACACTTATTTGGCAGCAACTGCTGTAGCAGCAACTTTCTGTAGGTTATCTTAATGGATTTATCACCCTGAACTAAGCCCTGAGCATCTGTTCTATTCTCTCATTACAAATGCAGAAAAAGCTAATTCATTATTGCATTGTAAAAAAGGTAAAATATAAATTATTTGAGTAGGCCATGCTTCACACTCTGATTGGGAAAATGGCTCTCTTCCGTAGAGTGACTCCCCTGATAAGAGAGTTTGCCTTTTTCCTAGCAAATGGGAATTACTGAGGAATAGGGCTCACTAGAACAAGTTTTATTCCCACTCATTCATCTTAGATGTGTTTTTAAATTTGCAATTCATGAAAGTGAAGATATGAATCGTCTTTCCTTCTCTCTTAGGTGAGCCACCAAAGATTTACTTTTGTTAGAAAAACTAGCATTCTGTTCTCAAGGCATGAGCTGGTTTTCCATTTCATGAAAATGAAGTGCCTGGTGGCAGTCTGGCCCAGCAACCCTGCTCCCATTGGGACATTGATTTCTTTTCCAGGATCTATCTGAGCAACTCTGAGCTGAGCAAAAACTTCTCCAGGTTTACAGGGATAACCTAATTATGTGGGAATCTTAGGTGAGGAGCTTTTTAAAAGGCAGAGTGTACTGAGTCAGTGCTGCTGTGGTAAATGTTTTTGTCCATATTTAATATGCAGGATGAGGGTAGAAAGGATCAGAGCAGGCTCTAGGTTTCACATGGACCGCTTATTTCTACACTGTACTGCCATTCATCTGGCAAGAAAAAATACTGGTAGGCCAGGTATTGCTAGCCCATTTGTTAGTGAATTGCTTTAATTTCTGAGTGCCAAGCAAAGATACCTTCCCACCATACCTAATGTTCAGCAGTGTTTGAGTATGAAAACTGTGCTACTCTTTACTACTGAATTTCTGTGGTCAACAAATACACAGCAAGTGGCAACAATGCACTGAATCAGTAGCAGTCCCTGGATGTGGCACTGGAACAGGCTCCCCTGAGAAGCTGTGGATGTCCCATGCCTGGAAGTGTTCAAGGTCAGGCTGGATGGGGCTTGGGACAACTTGGTCTACTGGAAGGTGTCCTTGCCCACTGTGGGGGTTGGAATGAGATGATCTTTAGGACCCCTCCCAACTCAAACCAGTCTGTGATTCTGTGACTCCCATCCCTCTTCTATCCCACGGTAACAAATGCTAGACTAATATCTGTGCAAATAACTCCAGATTTCTGACCAGAGGTTTTGCTCTGAAGAAGGCACCCTGAGCATTGGACCAGCATGATCCTCAGCACACAGGACATATCCTGAGCTCACCCTGCATTTCATGTTATTTGTGTTTTAGATGTGTACCACATGCCATACAGCTCTTGGCTTGTGGAAACTACAGTGAGTGACTGTAAATTAAATTTGGCCCAGTGCTGCAAAGTCCAAGCCCCTGATATTGTCTTGTCATTGGGAGTTCCTGAAGAAATTCAGTACCTGAACAGCCCAATATTTGGGCTTACAGTCCCTGACTTTTTTGCACATATTTATACCTAGGAGCCAGCATTTAGTCACCTAGTTCTCTCTTTGGTAATGCAGCACCCATTAATAGCAGGTGGCTCTAGGATTAAATTCACTTACATTAGAAGTCTGTAGAAAACATAGTGTAATGAAAAGAAACTGGCACTCACAGCACATTCTTCTGTATGATCTACCACAGATAAACTGTGTCTTGTGAGTGCCCATTTGTCAGAGAATTCTCCAACTTTGGAAATTAGATATCATTACCAACATCTGTTATATCTTAGGACACTGAGCAGACCTCCAGTCTTTCATAATATGTTCCCTAATGCCAATTAAAACTAATGACTTGACATTTTGAAAAGCCTTTTGACTCTTTAATATCTTTTTGACATCTGGCCTTTAAGGAATCTTCTTTCAGACTGTGTCACTAAAAGCACCTTATTCAGAGAAGATCATACTAAAAAGGAATTAAAAACATGCTATGGTGTGTGGGTTTCGTTCAAATCCTTCTTATAACTAGGAAGCACTGCTGATCTATAGAAAAAGGTGTGCTGATTTTGAATGAGATAGTTAATTTACTTCACAGTAGCTGGTATGGGGCTGTGTTTAGATTTTGTGCTGGAAACATTGTTGATAACATGGGGATGTGTTTGTTACTGCTGAGGAGCTCTTACACAGCATTAAGGTTTTTTCAACTCCTTACTCCACGTGTGAGTGGGCTGGGGTTGCACAAGAACCTGTGAGGGTTCAGGACACTGACCCCAAGTGACCAGAGGGATATTCCAGAGCATATAGCATCGTGCTCCGTATATAAAATTTGGGGAAGACATTATTCAGAATGATGTCCTTTATGGTGTTGGTGGAGGTCCATTCCATGTAGGTATTTAGAAAAGACCAGACATGGTACTTAGAACCATGGTCTAACTGACTTGGCAGTGTCTGGTCAAAGTAGACCAGTGATCTCAGAGGTATTTTCCAACCCAATTGGTTCTGTGATTCTGTCATTCTGTTTGTCTTACCGAGTCACTGTTAACACGTGATAGAGCCCTGTTCTCCTGGGGATGGCTGAACACCTGCCTGGCCATGGGAAGTGGTGAAAGAATTCCTAGCATTGCTTTGCTTGCATGTACAGCTTTTGTTTTACCTATTAAACTGAATTTTCTGATTGTCTCACCCCACTTATGGGAGGAGGAGTGCATGAGAGGCTGTGTGGGGCTGATGGCTGATGTTAAACCACAACAGGATGTAGATGAGAAAACACAAGAGATGAGTATCAGACACAGTAAGACAATCTAGGGGTGTCTCCTGGAAACAGAAAGAGAAAGCAACAAAGAAATGGGGAAGAACAGCAAGACTGTAAGCTGTGGGACCAGCAGGCACTGAGGTCTCTGGTTGGGTGGTTAGCTTGACTTCTCCTGCAACAAAAGAACGAAGTAATTTTGGAGCAGTTTCTGCTTCACAAGGACTTGGCACCGTGTCTTACAGCAAACTTACACAACACTGGCACCACAAAAAGGAAAGATATTACACACTATGGAGCCCAGGGAAGGTTTTGTTACTTTCATGCAGGATGGGTGAGGGAGTGAAAACCAGCAGTGAACAGCTCTTGCTGTAGAGCTTTTTTTGTCTCCTATTCTGAAATAAACCAAGAGATCCTGTGGACCCCGAGCATTTGGTCTGCTGTGCTCATTTGCAAATAGGATCAGTATAAGGAGAGCTAGATGTGGACTGCATTTGAGTAGGTGGGTATAGCCTGGGCAAAGGGCTGCATGAGAAACAGGATCTGCTGCTTACTTTGGTATGATTGTTCTTCTCATCTTGCTGTTATTTCCCCCAACATCTATCCAACTTCAAGTAGGAACTGGCTTCAATTATGCTTTGTACAAGGTTTCCATAGATAGCATCTTAGCATATCAGTGAAACATCAATGAGCTGGAAGAACTAGCTAGTTCATTACCATGCAAGTAAGTTCACTCTTCATGAAAGAAAAGCTTTTACTAGCTCCTTGTGTCTCCAATACTCCAATTTCTTCCATGTCTTACAAATAATATTTTTATAGGTCAAAGGCATTTATGTGTGTGTATATGTGTATGTCTCTCCCCCGCTGTGTTTTGCTCATTCCTGTGCATACTCTACCTGTACATGAATTCTAAATTCTGCCTGGGTGACAGTGGACAAGGAGGGCCAGAAAACGTTATTCCACTATTTCTGATACCTTTCAGTGTCAGAGATGGTGTTTGTATAACAGAAAAATAATAAGCTTATCAAGAGGGCTAAAAATCTGTTAATTCATCTACAAAGATCTGCTGTGGTAGCAGTTCTGGTGAACTGAAATATCATGTCCCATATACACAGTTATATTTCAAAGGCCACAGCCAATGCTAGAGCACAGTCCTTTGGTTGTTACCCCCTGTGCCACTTGGGAAGAGGTACAGATGCCTGGGTGGAGAGGAGGTACAGTGACACAGCTGTAGAGTTAGAGGGTTTGTGTACTGGATGTGCCAGTGGGTAGTTGTACAGGCATATCTGCGCTATGTGTTTTCATCTCTGTGTAAATGTGTTATTAAATCCCTAGACACACAGAAATCCCCTCAGCTGTGAAGTGCTGAACCTAGCAGAGTACTCTGGAAATGCAAAAATGTATTTGAGCCATGCTCTTTACATTTTCTGTACTGATTATTGTCAGAGTAAATTTCTTGTATAGACTGGCTTGAGCCTGTCTGTCCATTCTTACACTTCTACTTTGTTGCAATGTGTTTGGGCTTTTAATTACACGGGGAATTTTTTTTTCTCCTTCTTTTTCAGTCTTATGAAGGAAAATAGTAGTGCTAAAGAACTGTTGGAAGACCCTTGCATAAACCAGCAAGGGGGCTAAGAATTTGATAAATGTTTTAGTGTACTTTTCTATCAACTAAGTTGACACGCTGGCCAGTAAACATCTACTGCCTCTGCAGTTTCCATTCTGACACTCTGTGTCGATAATGAGCTGGATTTACAGAGAAATGAATCATGTAGTAGAAGAGATGCAGATCCATGGCAAGAAGCTGTAGATGAAATAATATGTAACCATTCAAAGCCCATGTTTGCTAATAAAAGACTTGTTTTTCCCTGGAGACAAGTTTAGTGAGAAAAGTAACAGAAAAAAGTTCCACTTGGATCTGAACATAAATAAGTATTTGTTCCTAGAGCTTTGGATTCTTCTCAGGATCCAGAGTTAATCAGCAATAGAGATTTCCTGAAGGAGAAGTTCATTTCAATTTCATGTGCATATAAGTGCACGGTTTGAGGGAGTGATGTCCTGCCAATGCTCTAGTTTAGAAGGAACTATTTGGAATGTCCCAAATCTATAAATTACACTGTAGTTGTTCCCTGCTAGCATAAAGGTAAAACAAGTGTAAGTTAACCTCAGTGCTCCTACTGCTAAGGGATCAAGTGCAATAGAAGAGAAGCATGGAAGAGCTGGTACTGCTGCTGCCTGCAATCTGTACTGCCTCTGCACCTGCTGGGGGAAAAGAGTCCACTTCTGCAGCAAGGTGTTTACCAGAAGCACCCCTCAGAAACAGGTGTCAGCCAAAAACTCATCTGCAGAGCCTGGAATTATTCCCTTAGTCATAACGGTCCCAGATACAGAGAACAAAGCAGAGGTTTGCAGGGCCAAAACATTAGACTCGCTCATACCAAAACCTCCACTGGAACTTGAAATCCTATTGATACCACAATCAGTTTGATCTGCTGCTTTACTGACTCACATTCATCAGACAGGTAGGAATCATACCTGACCTTTTATCAACACAGTTCAGATTTGTATTTCTCGATACACAGATGTTATATTATATATTGTTCTATGTAATATTGTTAATATTATATATATTAATATATGCTATGTATGAAGCATTGTGCTTTTCAATGCCAAATCAAAACCAAAATTCTTTTCAATGAGTAGTGGGGGCAGCAGGGTGTGCATGTGTGGTGTCTCACTTGCAGATGCCTTGGAAGAGACCATGCAGGAAGCTGAGCAGGGCACTTAATCATTTCTGCAGTCTAAGTTGGGCAGTTCCCATGAACAGGAGGAAAGAGTCTTCACGCCAGCTTCTCTCAGAAGCACAGACACCACAGTGAGGATGACTTGGAGGATTCATTCAAATCAGGATCTTCAGTCCCCATGACTGTCCTGGGATAACCGTCTACATACCCTCTCTTTCAAGAAGCTGAGCACTTCTCATTTGGTTTTCATTCTGCAGAGCTGCTGGCCACAAGGCCCATTTTTGTGTCATTGCCTGGTGATTACAGCTGTGGAGGAATGAACCTTGTCTCAGTTCTTACCTTTGCTTAAGACAGCTTTTCACCTTGCAGGAGAGCACTTAATCATGAGGATCTTGTCCTAAGTAGGGCACAGTTTCTACATTTTACAATAGAAGTTCACATGTCTAGGCAGTAAAATATAAGAACGTTTCTGGAAGTAGGTACTGGAGACCCACACTACTTTCTCCCAAAGGAAAAGCCTGATTGCTACTCCCAAATATTAAGCTGAAGAGGTTGCTTGACTTTTCTGTTTCTGTAGTCTATTAATCCTACATTCTTTTCTACATGACAGCAGATCTTCAAAAAGGGGTGCAGATTGCTTAGTGGCCAGAACAGATCCTGAAATGAGGTAGCTGCAGACTGTTTTGTTCGTGCCTAGGAAGGCATCAAGCCTGACTCCTTCTGTGTGACTGATCTGCCCAGTGAACTATTATGTAAAAGGAAATATGAGCCCTTCCCCATCTGCTCCTTAAATGATGGTAGGCGATCAATTCCCTCAGGCACAGCCCAAGCCAAATGGTGTGTGCTGGGCACGTCCTGGGAATATTCACCCAGCTGAGCCCTGTAGAAATGTTTAAACATTTTGTTTTCTGATTCAGTTCTGGAATGAGCGTGTGCTGAGCTGCTCTTATCAAGGGTGGGGGAATTCTTCACCCGGCCATGGACACAACTACAGGTCCCCGATTAACATCAAATAAAAAAGTGTGGCATCTCTTGACTTAGTTGACAAATAAAGTGTAGTTTTCAAAGTAACAATTTTAGATTGAAGTGTTTATATTCTACCTAGATCTTAATTCTGACATCAAAGTGCATTACAATTTTGAAGTGACAGAACTCGAGAGAGTAAAAAAGTTCAAAACTGTGAAAGACACAAAACATTTTTGGATCCTACATTTCTGGATCAGAAAATTCTGAATTCTACAATGCAGGGTATAGTATTTGGTTTTATTTGTTCAGATAATTTTGGATAGGTTTATGTAAAGTAAACTTTTATGTCTACAAATTTCACAGTTTTTATTTTGAAAAACTGCATTTTGTCTATTTTTTTTTATATAGATTTATAGATTCATATAGAAACAACAGAAATTGCTTTCTTTTCAAGACCTCCTCAAACACAGTAAGTCATACTTTAACATTATGGTTCCAATACAAAATAATGAAATTCCAATGTAATAAAACTATACAAAATGATAGCTAGCAGGAAATTAATTCCTATTTTACTTCAATTTACTGGACTTTCAAAGTTGTGGGTTTCTATACCCAATCATACCTGTCAGTGAGAGCATATGACTTTCCATCAGCCTCCTACCTGCTACATAGCAATGATAAGAAACACATCCTCACCCTTCTCTCAGTTCTGCCAGCACATCCTGCATTTTGTTTCCAGATTTCTTTTTCATTCTGATGTCTAGAGGACTGTTGAACATAAGGCAAAAAAAAAAAAAAAATGAACATGAAGCCATATAAGTGAATTTACAACACAAAGATAAAATGTTCCCCTAAGGGCTACCAGGAAATCATGCTGCATGTCAGAGGAGGAAAGAGAGGGAGTGGTGGGATCATGCTCATGAGCAGTAATGAATACAACAGATACAAACCTCTTCCTCAACCCAAAGCAGTCAAGGCAAGTGACTGTGCTTATACAAACATTAAAATTAAAAGAACACAGACCCCAAATTTTTTAATCACATTTTTGGTAGGCAGGAAGTAAATGCCGTGTTGTAGGTGTTCTGGTCTTCAGAAATTCAGTTCTGTACAACGTTGCCTGCACTGGCCTAACTGCTGCACAGTACATTCTCTCAGTTTTCCACAGTAAACTCAATTGATAGCGGTGCTCTTTGAAATACTCCAGTACATTCCTGACAGTTTCACCAGGAAGTGTTTACCAGAGTGTTCTAGCGAGTATTTTACCTCTCTTAAAAGCACTGCCACTCTTCAGCAACACCATGTTACCCAAGGCTGCAAGAAATACAAATTCCCTGTCTAAATCCGCTGCCTTCTTGGAGTCCATTTTATCTTCAAGTCAGAAATAAGCACTAATTTGTCAATCATCTGTCTTTCCTGTGCCTGGACAAACAGTATTTACTTTAATCCAGAGTATCCTAATATATGTAAATATTAAATCTGCCAAGTTCTAAGAAATATAAATGGGATTTTTTTTTTCTACAGAGGCTGAAAGTATACTGTTCTTGTAGTTCTAGTTCTCAGTTCTTGGGTTATTTCACACAAAAATTGTCCAGTTGCTTTTAGGTGTCATTTCATCAGATGTCACATTTTCTTGCTTTATGGACATCGAATTCCTATAAATGTGCATGGGATTTGAAGGAAAATTATAAAAAAAAAAATAAGAATATGTTGTATTGGAATTTAACCTATTTAATAACCATTGTAATGTTAGCACACACCAGATATTATTCATTACCAAATTTTAATCTGTAGTTTTGCAATATAGTCTTAAAATAGTACAAAAAAATTAACAAAGTTTCTAAGCATTGAAGCTAGATACCAAAACCACATTTAATTAAACTTTTAAGACAACAAACCAGATACACTTCTTTTTGATAGCTGGATATGAACCCCCCCATGTTTCATAAATACAGCACTGCAAAGATATTGAAAATATTTATTTTGGTGAAAGTCATCAAGAAGATTAAATACGTTTGTATTGATCAGCCTTTGCACTTCCTTGCTTTAGCAAACTGCCTGGTTCAAACATTAGATCTACAATATACTCTTGAGGAGGAAGCAGAAGCCCTTTAGGAGAGTGTTCAACCAACTTCACTTCATTCCAAGCTCTGTTATATTTGCCACGAACTAAACTACAGCCAATGCCAATTCTGTCTGCTATCACCTAAAAAAGAAAGAAAAAAATTAATCACAGTCCATTCATGCAGCTTCTGTAATATACAGCAAGGCCCAGTGATGCTTAAAAACAAAACAAAAACCTACAAGGCCCAGAGCTTTCTTGAAGCAGACTTCACAGATTTCTGAAGTGTTCCAAACTTCAAACATTTGTTGTTGGTTTTGCATAGAAAGTATAGGCTTTAAAACATTATTTCTTGCATATTCTATTCACAGCATGAAAAACACTCATTTAAACTCTTTTAAAATACTGATACATTTGTTTATTAGCCAGTCCTTCAGATCTCAAACTAAGTGCAACACCCACAGTACTCAGAAAAGGGTTTTTTCCTACTTGGAAGACTCAACTTCTGAATAATATTTTGAAGTCTATTCAAGCAACGAGGTGTAGGCACACTGCACACATGTAGCTAGTATGAAATATTAAGTGTAAAAATGTAACATTTTTATCAGTGTAAGTTTAGAACTGTTGCTTCACTCCAAAGCACACTCCTTGCTTTTCAGCCCTGGAAATGTGGTAAGCAATGAAATGCGAGGCAAGTGTCTGCTAGATGAAACACCTGCCTCTCCTCTGGGCTGCACTATCACAGACAGACCTATAATGGTTTCCAGCTACCAAACTGCTTTTTCAACACACATCTGCTGGGAAGGAATAAAATCCTGGAAGATTTTTAACTTGTTACAAATGGACATGGATATCCATTGCTTAGAGTGGCTTTAAGAGAGATGACCTGTCCCTACAAAAGTTTCTTAGGACAGTGGAGCATAATTAATTCATGCCCTCAGAATGTCATAAAATAAGTTGGAAACTTTCTCTCTCTATGGATACCATAAATTTTGGGTTGTACTCTTTCTGCTGTGTACTCTTTCCTAGGTCCTTCCTGCTTAACGTGCTAGGCCCTTGTTTCTCCATTTCTTTCCATTCAAGAAAGAAAAAAAGTCCAGCCAAGGAAAAAGGATAGGACAGGATGCACTACATATCTTCATATGTAGAAGGAAGAAATAAAACTTTCGAGTTTCTTTTAGAACAGAAAGAAACCCAGTTTATTTCTAAGAAGTTAGAACATAGAAGCTGTTATATACTATGACAGAATACTGGATAGATACCAAATAAAAATTGTCCCAACAAGTTTACATTTGCAGCATGGAAAAAGAAGGAAGCTGCATAATTCAATATTTTACAGTTTACAGAAAATGGAAAATGTTTTGACTCCAAATCAAATAGTTTGGCTTTTTGCCATTTATCAAATATTCTGCTGATATCACTTAAGACAATTTAATGACAACAAGAATGTTTACGGAAGGAAGCGATGCTGGCTTTCATTCACTGGGAAATCAACTTTGCTGTTGAAAAATTATGAAACTGTATACAAGAAATTTTACATGGATATAAATACCGTATTATACTGATGCAAATATACTTTCTATTATCCATTTAAGAACAATATGTTATGTTGCAAAATAAATTATAATGTACCTTGAAAAGTAAGGCTCTGTGATAGAACGTCCCTCTTTTGATTTTCCCGATAGGCACAACATTGCTTTTCAGTTCAAATTCTATTTTACTCAAGTCGAGTTCCCAGAAGAAGTTATGTAGTTGCTCTCTTCCAACAGAGCCACCCATCTTGTCTGCAACAAACCTGTTCCAAATGCATACCAGGATCAATTACATCTATAATTCCTCCTGTATTTCTTGCAAAAATGCAGCACAGTGAAATGTATAGAAGCAAGAAGTGAATGACCTTTAAGACTGCAATACTTTTTCTATGTCTGCCTAATTAATTTTTTTAATTCAGTAACTGGTATTTTAAATATGCTTACTGATAAATACAGATAACCTTAACTCAGGTCATTCATATTTGTCATAAACCTAAACCAAGGTGCAAAAGCAAAGATTCTGGAGAGGTGTAGTATAGGCACAAAGTCCTCAGAAAAAGTCATCAATAGCAGTGTAATTACTGAGGAAGTAATTACAGAAGCTGATGTTCATGTTTACAGGTGACAGATTAGGTGAGTTACATTATATAGTCCCCAGATCTATCATTTGTTTTAAACAGTAATAATGGCATGAGAAGATGTATGACAAAAATAAAGCCATAGGTAATGATCCCAACATAGTAAAGTAGCTGAATTCATTGAAGGTACTTATCTTCTACATGTGCTTTCTTACACTGAAAGTATTTTGGGGGTGAGCTGTATTTATCCATTAGAACACATGGCTCAGAAACAGCAACAGATCAGAACTTGCTGTCAGTGTAAGCTCTGCAAAAAGCATTTTTTCTGGGGGACTGCACACACACAGGACCAAGCTGTGGTTTGTAAGTCTCCCAGTACACACACACACACCCCCCTTCATCTCTCCTGTGCAGGGTCATTCTATGCAAAGACCTTTGTTCCCTTTAGTGTGTCAGCCACAAGCGCAAATGTTATTGAGGTCTCTCACTCTGGACAAGATGTTGCAGAGCTGACAGGAAAATCACAAGCCATTGCTTCAGACAGGGAGCTAAAACCTGCATCTCCTCCTCTGCAGAAGCAGTGAATGTGTTCCTCTGCCCAGCATAAGCAAGGCAACCTCCAAGGCCTCATTTTTCAAAATTTAGAGTTGAGGCTGCAATAGCATGGGCATAGGCACAGGGAGCTATCACTAAGTCGGTCAGACAGGGTATCTTGAAACTGATAATGACAAAGTGTGGAGCTTAAGGCAGTGCTGTGTGTGCCCATGGCCAGCCCTCATTAAAGAGAGCAGTGCTGTCTCAGCCAGCTTGCTCACCACCACACAAAGGTGCTGTGTTTTTTCCAAAGGAGACATCCAGCATTACTGATGTCCCCTCATCCAGCCTGACCCCCACCCCAATGAGCACAAGAGGAACTCCAGCCAGGCTGCCAAGCTGCTGAGGGATGCTGCAGCTGCCTTCTCCCCCAGTCCCTATTCAACACATGCTATTCAGGCAGCTGCCTGAAATGGAACACAGACAGAAAAATCCCCACAGAAAACATTCTACTTAAATTTCCCATGATTTCACTGGGTTGTGTGTCTGCAATTATTTCACTGGTGTGTTAGAAGAGCGGGTTTAAAAGAGAATTTTATGGATTCCACCTTGAGGAAGGCATCATGATTTATACACAGTTGGATAGTTAAGCATGAATATCTGTCCTGTCAAATTCTGCAATCAATGGAAAATTCATTCCTCATATCACATTAGATGACTTCATTAAAAATGAGAGTTAGTAAAAGTAACAAATTTTTTGTAAGAGTAAGTGGGATCTGACACCAAACTCTCCAGATTCAGGAGGCAGCCTGGAAACTGCTAAGATACAAAGGTTAAACTATGGAGAAGATGAAAACAGACACACTGCTTGATTGGTGCCCAGGCTGAGTAGTCAGTGTAACTAATGAATCACACGTTGATACCAACAGTCTGTACATGCACTATTAAAATATTCTAGCACTATTAAATCATCAGGATATTAATTGCAAGAGCACTTAAAAGCTATGTTAGAAGACTTGTCTTATGCTTTTAGTTCTATAGAATACAAAACACAGAGTTTCTGTCCCAAGGGGTTCCAAAACCAAGTAGGCAGGAAAGATGGTAGGAGAAAGAACAGACATGATACATCTTGCAGCCATCTAGACTATTAGATTTGGGTTCTAACGATGCTTTTAGGCTTTGCAAAACCTAGGTCTCTGGGGCTCCTTCATGATGTAGATGCTATATGCAGCTGATGTGTTCACTGGAAAGAATCAGTACAGATGTATAAATGTGAAAAAGAACCTGAAATTGTCTATAAGAATATTTTTAAAATGAGAAATTGATACTCTTTTGTTGCAAGTGATACTTTCTTTTAAAATACATTAAGTTAATTGCAACAAAATTAGAAACAATAAGCTAAAAATCTAAATATGTCAACATTCTGGGTCAAAGCTGATTTGGATTCCACTTAAACATGGGAAAATAACTATTTTGAAATAGTTTACCTTGGGTAAGAAAACAGTTATTTTAACAATTCAGCTTATGGAAATAAGATTTGGTACTCACTGTGCAAGAGCCACAACCTGTTCCCGAGTAGAAGTTAGTGGTAGAATTGTTTTGGAAGCATCATTAATGTAATCCATTAAAATGAAGTCAGGTGGTGGTAGCCAATGGGAATTTTCTGGGTTTATTTCCTCCTGGACTGTATGTGTAACTGCAACTTCAGTAACTTCTTTTGGTTTTTCCTCCTCTTTTTTCCCCTTCCCTTTTCTTACACAGAAAAAAAAAAAAAATTATACACTTATCTAGAACACTGTAATCTCTAAAGTTCAAATTCAAATACATTAGTTCTCCAACAGGACATTTGACAAATTGACTAGGGAGAGGTGGAAGGTAAAAGACATCTTTTCTCTTGATAACAAATATCCAAAATCTACAAAGCTGTAGAGAACACTTGTGGAACATGTCCTCAGGAGATGGTAAGGAACAAATGCCACTAGCTCCATATTAACATTGTTGTCAATTCTCATTTTATTTTTAGTTTATGGCTCTGATATACCTTTCCCACGTATGGATTATATAGACAAGAAGACACTTACTTACCTACTATATACATAAAAGACATATTTTTAGTTATGGTTTAGTTCTGTATGGATATGAACTAAAACTCATGAACTTCAGTGAGTTTTTACTTGATTAAAACCTGGTCTTCAAATAAAGGGAAAAATGGTATCAAAAGCACAGCTGAAATCTTGGCAGGACATTCCAAAAGACAGCCTCTGCACTTGCAAGTTCAGGTACTTCAAGCATTATGCAAACTACAGCATGGCTTGTCAATGAAAGATTTTGCAACAAGTCTGTGTTTTTTCTGACTCTTTTTCATTGCACATGCTTCATATTTTACTAATGCTCAGGATCTGAAAAATGACTATGATCCTGAACAGGCATCTTAAGCACCCAGCAGAAGTATAAATGAAATGACTGCTCTGCTCAAATTAAATACTGTGCATTTCCCAAGTTATGCAGCAACTATAAAATCAGTATCTTATCAGAAGTATTATTAAGGGCTATACAATCAGACAATTTAGGACCTTTCATTTGTGGGAACACATGAAACTGGTGTTTTGTAAGCATTATGGCTTTTTTCAGCATAGATCCCGAAAATTTTTACTGTGAAATACAACAAAACTTCTTTCCTCCATTTAACAGTTCTGGCTTATTTTTTTAAATCTGTAATACTTCTGATGATCTTGGAAGGAAAAAGAAAAAAAGAAATAAAGGACCACTAGAGTACATGGCTCCAGGACACACTATCATTACTGTATGCTCTTCAAATTATTCTTAAAATTTATACTATGAATAGCACTCTTAAGATGGAAGACACTGAACAAAGCAAAAGGGCATACACCATTATCAGTCGTTCAATTCAAGCAATTTGTCTTCAGAATACTTTGCAAACTTTTCTTTAACCTATTGAGATTTACCATATTCACAAAAAGCCCTTTTCATAGGTGTCACAAAGCACATTATTTTAGAAGGATAACCAATTAAGATTTAATCTTAAAATTATAGAAAATTCACCAACCTCTTAAATAAACTGTTCTGGTTATTAATTACACTTACACTTGGAAAAAAAGCAGACAAACAGTTTTCTTTATCTAGTTTGACTTATCTAACTATAGCCAGAGAACCTTATAATGCTAGATTAAATAGCTATCTACTCATCCATTTATCCATTTATACATTATGGTTAAAAATACCGTGTTTAAAAATATCCTGAATTATTCCTAACTCTCTGGTGTCCAGTTTAGAAGGTTTTCAAAACAACATCTATAAATGCTATAATTCTTGTTTCTTTACCATTTGCCCTTTTTCCCCTTCTTCCTTTCTGTACTCTCAGTACTTTCTTTTCTCCATGAGAAGTGCACTATTAAATTACAGTGCTATAGGAGAATTTGTTTCCTATTCCTATCTATTCAAATTACTCTAGAATCACACTTACTATCCTCCTTTCCAATTTTCAGGAACAAAACACCCGAGAGAGATGGGTTTGAACCGTGATTTGTTTGGGTTTTTTGCTGCTGCTTATTTCTCTCTGGTATGACTATGTTCTGTTCCTTGGTGGAACAGCTGATTTAAGGTTGTCTTTTGTCTCTACCTTACTCCTCAACTCTTCATCATATCTGTCCAAACCTTATCTCATAAGGAACTGTAGAGCTGCTGTCTTACAGCTCAGTGCTATAAAGTAACTGGTAACCACTACAGGAGACTTCTACTGTCTTTTTTCCTGGCCTCTTTTTTTAATCCCCATTTTCTTGCCAGCGGGAATTGTGACATCAGAAAAAAAATCACTCTCATTTCTCAGAGCTGTCTTCGAGTAGTGAGACTGCTTGCTGTGAAAGCAGAGGAATATTGCAAAGAAGAGCTCATGGCACTTTAATAGTCTCCAAGCTGTTTCTGATTCTTTGCAACTTTAGTATAAGAGTCCAACAGGTCACCAGAGCATCAGCCAGAGGAAGAAGGCAGCCAATACGATATTCTACCATCAAAAAGCAGCCATGATGCCTGTTTTCTTTCCCATTTTGCATAGCTTAAATGCCCTCGTTTTCTTTTGAAAAGGAACAACTGAGCATTGGGAAGTATTTCCTTAAATGCAGTACTGAAACATGGGATGGAATAATTACATATTTATTAGTCTACATTGAATACAATATTTTAGCCTAGTCAATGTGTATATCAGATATGAAACTGCCTGATTAAAAACGTTGCTGTCAATGAAAATATATGTCAAACTATCAACCAGGCACTTCCTCACATCTAATTCAGACATTTCCAGCAGACAATTACAGCTGCCCTTTCTCTTGCCTTTCAACTATGGTTTATACAAAGTAGTATCACTTTTTCAAAACAATGGCTTTAAACAGTGTTCAGTAGTACTTTGCAAAATAATGATGAACAGAAACATATGATCAAAGGAAAAAAATATGTAAGAAAAAGTCTAAGCATGTTTGAGACTTGGAGTCAGCTACTGACCTTCAAGTAACTCCCATATATCTCACAAATTAATAATAATAATGATGTATGAATTATGGATTCAAAATGAATGACAATGGGGTTATAAATCATACAACTTGATCGTGACATTCAAAAGCAATTATTTCACACTTGAAGAAAGGAGTCCTTGTACCCCTGCAAGGTTTACTATAGGAAATTGAGGCAGGTATTTGTTTTTTCCTAAAGAAAATTTTTTTGCTTTTCAAGAGTTATTGCAAACAGAGCAGTTATTTACACTGTAATTGACATAAATTACATTAAAATGCAACTATCTAAGTGTATCCTCATCACACACTGTAATAAACAAATATATTATCTTGTAAGAACAGGTCTCCCAGCTACTGAGACTATACAAAATGGCCTATGACTCTAGGGCATCTTCCAAGGTGAAGGAACTCTCCACTGGTGCAGAGAAAACATAACTGGGGCTCAGTATCTCCCATGCCTCTGCTCTCTTTGAGTAAACTGGCATGGGCACAGTGGGTCCTGGGCAGGACATGCAGGGCAGCAGGAGGACCTGCAAGGGAGCAGAAGCTGGGACAGGCCTCCTAAGGCACTCAGGCTGCTGTATCTACTCTGGTGCATCCTGAAACAGGAACCTTCCACAGTGCAATTCGTACTATCCATTTCAAGTATCTACTATAAAATAATTTAAACTGAATTTCAGAAGTGCTTGCTTTCAGAAGTGCTTTCAGAAGTCCAAATAACTAGTCAAATGGGAATGTCTGCCTTGTAAGTCAATAACTTTTTGATAGACGAGTCTGACAGTTTCAGGGTCCTGATTTAAGTCAAAACCTCAAACATTCACAGTCAGTAGCTATTATCTGTCAATAATTTGCATGTCTGTTCTAAATAAGTTAATATAATTCAAACATATTCAAATATAACTCAAAGTATAATACTTCAAGCCTTTTTCCCTAGTGCTGCTTTTGCTAAGTGAACACCATTGTCCAGGTAACTTCTGTTTTTCCTCTATTGGAGATACCACTGAACTATTGAGATCAAAAGCAGGTTTCATTTTTGTCTTGATTTTGTTACTGCACATTTCATTTCTCAAGTGCAGATAAAAAACATACACAGAAATATACAAGCAGTGTCAGAAATCAGCCATTACGTCTGCCAATAAAACACCTGTACAGACAGTAGGGCATCACAGTTCATGACTGAGCTCCAACATAAAAATTGGAAACACAGTACATCAGCTCCTACAACAGACATACCATTCCTCTTTTTTTCCCAAGCCTGCATTTTGTAATGTCTGTCACTGACTAGATCTCACAGCCCTTAGCCATTGCCAAAGCTTCTTTTACCATAAAGGAAGGAAAATTAGGGACCCAGGACTGGGACCCACAGAAACCAGTATGATAAATGGTCAGCTCACTAAGCTGGCTAAGAGAAAAGCCAAGGAGAGTTGCAGGTTGTTATCAAGGTTTAGAGACCAATCCATTGGTGGCAAGGAGACTCTATTTGAACTGCTTTTGGATTCCCCTGGAATCAGGCATGTACACCTGCCTTCTCCAGAAGGCACTGCTGTGGTCATGATTAGGCTGCTGTTTTACAGGAAGGACAGTTGGGAGACCATGGCTCAGTTTCCTTCCACAGGAACAAATGACAGGTTAAGTATTTTATTTTAGACAAAGACTAGAAGCCTGGTCTTGGCAAGAGTAAGGAGAATTAACAGCTCAAGTAAAAAGCCTTGTTCATTACACCCCATTGTTAGTAATCAGCTACAACAAACTACAGACTGCTAACCCCCAAATATCTTGTGATCAGCTATCTGCAGGTGTCAGGGACAGACTCAAATCCTCTTTCTGTAAAAGAAGGAAATTAATTTTCCACTACAAGAGTAGAGGATCTATTTGGTATGAAGAGGCAGACTGCAGCACTGTAGCTAGTGTATCATATGGATCAGGACATGCACTGTAAGAGTGAAGCATTCTTAGGCTGTTGTCTAAAAATCAGGACAGCTCTGAGCACACCCTTCTCAGCTTTTAGTTATCTGTCAACTGCACTGGAAGAGATTTAATCAGAAATACAGAAGCATGTAGGCAGTGTAGGAACATTTCATGGGTTTAGGTTTCTAAACTGAGAAAAAATTTCTACTGTAATTTTTCTGTGTCTTGGTTGTCAAGTTGTAAAATAACAGTATTTCACTGCTTCCAAGGGATAATGAAGGAAAAAAAGAGCAAATAAGTGTGAGCTATTCAAATAGAGCATGAGAAGAGAGGACAAATGATTACTAAGAAAGACAAAGGAATATTAGTTCAAATAGGAGGTGAAAGAAAGACTCCAAAAATATATTTAACATTCTGTTTAGGTATTTGTACTCCATTCAGAAACTGTCGCTATTTTCAGTCAGACTTCTATTTCTAGTGTTAGAGCAATAACAGAACATTGACAACTAATAAATCTGGGAACCATACCTTGCTTTTTCTTTGCTGCTTGCTCCTGAAGCAGACGATGATTCATCTTGTACATTCTCTACTATAACACTGAAATAGAATAAGATATTTTTGCATGTTATTTGCAGAGTTAGTAGTGCATGTGAAGCTATGAAAATGGAATTTGGATTTTAAAAGACAATAAATATACTCATATGTGGTATTTAATTGAAAGAAATAACATAACTACTAATAAACCAGACATTAATTCAGGGATCAAAAATGAAGTATGGAATCACAGAATAACAGAATATGCTGAGTTGAAAGGGACCCATCAAGATGCTCATATCCAGATCCTGGCTTTGCACAGCACCATCCCCAAGAGTCATGTCATATGCCTGAGAGCATTGTCCAAATCCTTCTTGAACTCTGTCATGCTTGGTGCTGTGAGCACTTCCCTGAGAAGCTGTTCCAGTGTTCAGCCACCCTCAGGGAGAAGAATCTTTTCCAAATATGCAGCCTAAACCTCCTCTGACACAACCTCAGGCCATTCCCTCGAGTCCCGTCCCTGGTCACAAGAGTGAAGAGATCAGTGTCTGACCCTCTTATTCCTCTCATGAGGAAGTTGTAGATTGCCATGAGGTCTCCCCTCAGTCTGTTTTTTTCAGGCTGAACAGATGAACTGACCTCAGCCACTCCTCACACAGCTTCCCCTAAAGGCCCTTCACTATCCTCATGGCCCCCCTTAAATGCTGTCTAATAGTTTAATATTTTCTTATATTGTGGTACCCAGAACAACCCCCAGCACTCAAGGTGAGGCTGTCCCACAGCAGAGCAGAGCGGGACCATTCCCTCCCTTGCCCAGCTGGCCATGCTGTGCCTGGTGCCCCCCAGGACAGGCTTGGCCCTCTTGGCTGCCAGGGCACTGCTGGCTCATGTGCAACTTGCCACTGATCAGGTCCCTTTCCATGGCACTGCTCAACAGCCTCTTATTCTCCAGTCTGTCTGTACATCCAGGGTTGCCCCATCCCAGGCGCAGAATCTGACACTTTCCCTTATTGAGCTTCATGCAGTTAGTGATTGCCCAACCCTCTGACTTGTTGAGGTGTCTCTGCAGGGCCTTTCTGCTTTTGAGGGAGTGAACGGCTCCTGCCAGTTTTGTATCATCTGCAAAATTGCTGAGTGTCCCTTCCAAGTGGGTCCAAGTCATTTATGAAGATGTTGAAGGGCCAAGGACGGAGCCCTGTGGAACCCCACTAGTGACAGATCCCCAGTCTGAGGTCACCCCACACCCTTTGTGCCCAACCCGTGAGCCAGCTGCTCACACATCACATGATGGGTTTATCCAGCTGTGAGCTGGACATCTTGTGCAGAAGGACACCATGAGAGACAGCACTGAAAGCTTTACTGAAACACAAAAATCTCATTGTATCAGCTGGCTCCGCTTGATAAACCCACGGGTTACTTTGTTACAAAAGGAAATCGGGTTTGATGAGCAGGACTTTCCTCTCATGAAGCCAGGCTGGCTGTGACCAATGACTGCATTGTCCTTCAGATGTTTTTCAATACCTCCTACAATATCCTCCTCCTTAAGTTTACTAGGTGCTGGTGAAGTGAAATTAACAGGCCTGTAGTTTTTGAGATCCTCCTTCATGCACTGCTTGAAAATCAGGACATTCACCAGATTCCACTCAGCTGGGACGTCTCTGTATTCCCAAGACTGCTTAAATATCATCTAGAGAGGTTGTGCAATAACATCATCCAGCTCTTTGAGATTCCTGAATGAATCCCACCAGGCCCTATAGATTTGTAGGGATTCAGCTGGAGTAGCAGATCCTGCACAATTTCAAGTTTCCCTGGGAGTTGATCATTCTCACAGTCATGGTCCTCCAGTTCAGGGCACCCTTGGCCCATCATCATGTTGAAGACAGAGGCAAAGAATGTGTTAAACACCTCTGCCTTGTCTCTGCCCCTGTTTGTGAGGAGACCATCTTCATCCTGTGATGGGACAACGCTGTTTTTACATTGCCAGTTGCCACTGGTATATTTGAAAAAACTCTTCATATTGTTCCCCACAGCTCTGGCTGGCTTCAACTCCAGCTGAGCTTTGGCCACAGGAATTTTCTCCCTACAGTGGCCAGCAGTGACTCTGTGTTTTTCCCATGTCACCTCACCTTGCTTCCACTGGGCATACACTTTCCTTTTTTGCCTTATTTCTAAGAGAAGATTCCTGCTCTGCCAAGGTGGCCTTCTGCCTCACCTGCTTGACTTCTGATATTTGGGAACTGCCTGAACCTGTGCCCTTAGGAGGCGATGTTTAAAGAGTGACCAACACTGACAGATGCCAGCACCTGCAAAAACATGTTCCCAGAGGATCTTACTCACTATTCCTTGAGGAGTCTGAGGTCTGCTTTCCTCAGGTCCAGAGCAGAGGTTTTTCCTTCTGTTAACAGAGATTTTAAACTTGATTGCTTCACTGTGGCCAAGATGGCCACCAATCTCCACTTGCTCACAAGATCCACCCTGTTGACAATCAGGAGACCAAGGAAGGAATCTTTCCAAGATGGCTCCCTTAGGACCTGTTCCATAAAGTTGTCATCCAGGTTTTTAAGAGTCTTATGGCCCAGGTTCTACCAGGTGTGTGATGCTCCCAGTTAATTTCTGACACGTTGAAGTCTCCCATAAGGACAAGGGCAGTTGACTTGGAAGAGTTCCTTAGTTCCTCAAAGAATTATTTTTTCTTTCATTTTATCACTGTCCTGGCCAGGAGGTCTATAGGGGACTCCCATGATGGCATCTGCATTATTTGTTTGTCCCTTGATTCTTACCCAGAGGCGCTCAACTGTGCCATTGCCAGCTGTCAGCTCCATCCATTCTACCCCTTCTGTTCCACAGAGTGCCACCCCTCCACCTCTCCTGCCCTGCCTGTCCCTCCTGAAGAGCCTGTAACCATCCCATAGGGCACTCCAGTCACAGGATCCATCCCACCAGGTTTCACTTATGCCAGCAATGTCAAATCTCTGGGACTGGACCAAAGCCTGGATTCCCATTGTTTGTCCCTCATGAGGGTGCATTAGTGTAGAAACATTTCAGGTGTGGTACACTGTAGCCAGCACCTCCTGAGGCAGATTGAGGTATCCCATTAGTGCTCCTTTCCTCAGGTTTTGACATCCCATCCCATCACTCGTCACTGGTCAGCCTGGCTTTGTCCCTTTTCCCCTTCCAGGCTGGTTTAAAGCTCTGCCAATGAGCCCTGTCAGTTCCTGTGCCACAGCTTTTTTCCTTCTGAGATCAGTGAATGCCCAATGGTGAATGCAAAAGTAACTGGGGAGTAAGGCTGCTGCCAATGTGCAAAAGCAAGAATCTGTATGAAAGTCAAAGAATGAAGACCTGATAGTTAAGGACAGCTCTAGGGATCAACAAAGAGCATGGAAGTCTATTTGTCATAGATATTCCCAGACATCTTTATGGTATCATATACAAGCTTAAAAGGGAAGCTAATGATACTGTAACCCAAATATGTGATGTGTTGGCAGAGAAGAAATTTTTGGACTTGCAAAGTATTGGTAGAACGATCTTTGATCTGTGAGACTGTTTACAGGAAACGGCTCCCAGTTAAACAAGCCAAATACCAACTTCCTGTGTTCAAATCTAAGAAGATTTGTTAGGCTGGCTTCAACTTAAACAGAGAAGAAATGCACACAGGTTCTTTATCAAGCCTAAGAGCTTAATGCTTGGCTTTGTCCCACCCCTTGGAATGATGTGCTTACAATTCCGTGCATTTGGTTGTATAAGAGGACCATCAAATCATAGGGGTTTTTTTGTCAAATGTTGACGTTCAGCTCAGATGACATAATTATTACAGCAGTTGACAAGCTTTGTTATAACTAGTAAAACATTGAGTGTCCCATCATCATGAATCAGAGTGTTAAATGAATGAATCTTCAAGGCTAAAATAAATAAAGCAACTCAATTGAATAAGCTATTTTCCAAATTATTATTTTATAAAATACAAATGTTTTGCCTCCTAGGGCATAAAAGCACTGTGCTGGGAAGAAAATAGATGTCTCTGTTTTTATATATGTGTGTGTGGATAGACAGACAGACAGTCAGACAGAGAGATAGATAAACAGAATGAAGTTTGTACTGGAAACAGTGAAAACCATTAAAAAGATGAGCTATTACAACAAATGCTGGTAGATCTAACATGACTCACCTTTCTTGGGGTTTAGCATTAATGAAGATTATTGCCCGACGGTCAGTAAGCTCTTGCTTGCTTAGTTCTTCCAAAGACAAAAATTTCTCTCCATGTTTTATCTGCAATAAAATTAGCATAAAATGTAAGGTGTTCTGTTCAGTTAAAGATGCAGAGAAAAAATATATTTTAAAGGTACCTAAACAGTAATTTAAAATTCCTAATCTTAAACCAAAGACTGTGTAACAGCTTATAAAGCCAGTCAAAATACCTGAAATTATTTTCTTACTAGTTTACATTTTCTTCATCAATTTTTCTTAGAAAAGATTGTTTATAAATTTATTAGCTTGTAGTTATTGGTTTGAAGCATTCCAAATAGTTCCAGAATAAGGAAATGTTCCTGCCTCTGAAGGGTTTACAACACAGGATGGAATTTTCAGAAGCAACCAAGTGCTTTAAGAGCAGGTATTTCACTGATTGTCAGTAAGACTGGTATTTCTAATTCATCTGGGTATTTTGAAAAGTCCTCCTTATATTTAAATTGACCACAGCACTAATAAGTGATACCGGAGTCAGTCCTTATATACAAACACTTGTTTTGTGAGAGAAAGGGTTATGACCAGGGTGAAAATATGAACTCTTTGCTTCCTTCTGTAAAAATAAACAAACAAAACGTCCATAGGTCATACAATGTCAAGTTTGCATTAAGTATAGTGCAGGGAGAGAGACCAGAAAAACTGAAGTTTGATAAAGGATCTGGAAAGGTCTGAGGTTCAGATAGGATTGGGAAGATCACAACTAGGGAATATTATTATGATGATTTCATCCATTAAGAAAGGCAACCAAAAGAAATCTGTACAACAGCTGTGAAATTTCAGGACAACAAAACAAAGTATTTGCTGTAGTAAGATTTTGGCTGTTTCTACAGTACTCTTTCTAAATTAAGAGGAAAATCTTACTCTTTCTAAATAGAGTAATTTGTTTAGAATAGCTTACCTGACCACAATCATAGAATCCATTAGTAATGATATTACTTGATGATAAATATCCCATCCGGCTGTACTTTTGGGAAAGATTGTTATCAAGTAGCTTTTCCAGAGCAGCTTCACTAAACTTATTTTTACGCTTTGTTGACTGATTAATTTCTTCTAGGATGTCTAAAGCCCTGATAAATAAAATACAAAAGCTAATTCATCATTAAATACTAATTAAATGTTATTATACATCTCAGAGTTAGTTTTCAGCATTACCAAGGCCAAGATAGATTAACTTCCAAGTGCTGATCCTGTGCCCTCTGGGCCAGAAAAGAGTGGCTGTGCTGCACAGAATTCCTTCTCTAGGGAAGGAAAACATTGTGCAGTGCTCAAAAGCAAAAACAATTCCTTTAGGTAGTTAAATGCTACCTAAAGAAAGGCAGACAGGATGCCACAGCCTTTTATCTAGAAGGATGTTATGCACCATAGAGAACTTTGGAGAAAAAAAGATGTAAAAGGAATAATGATCAGAGCAGACCATATGATACAGTCCAGGCAACCTCTCTCCTTCTCTTTCTCTCTCTTTTCAGCTGCAAGGCAATTTGCAGATCCAGTTGTGCATTATGCAATGTGTGAATCCTTCTGGTCTAGGACTGTTACTGTGTTTGGGGGAGCACAGCTGTGCGGGGACATGGGAAGACATGCATTAATTTCCCTAAGCTTTTTCTGGTGCTGAAACCCACAAATTGACAACTTTTGATCTGAAAAATTTGGGAAAACCTCACTAAGAAAATACAGGAAACTATATCGGGAGAATATAGCATACTGCGTGTGTAAGAGTTTATATTCAAATTCCTATCTGTGTATGTGTGACTATGCACACATGCAGATACTCTTCACATCCCAAGGAATCACTTTTATATATACACAATATATTTCTGTGAACTATGCAGGGAACCTAAGCTCTGGACATCTACAATGTAGACTTCTGAATAGATGAATTCAGATGAATTCCAGAGAGCAAGCTTTTCAGACAAGGCAAATGACATCCATTTCTTACGGAAGAGAGCAGTGGGAGAAGATAGTTCAGGAAGAGCAGCTCAGGCTGTATGTCCACAGCATATTGCAGATAAGCAGCAAGTAACACAGGAAACAATTTGAAAGGGGAAAATGAATAAAGGCTAATGTGTACAGCAGGGTCTAAATCAAATGACATTACAGGCACAATGGCACATTACCCTCATATGGAAGAAAAATAAGCCAAAACCAGACAAATAAAACAGCTGCACCAAAAATCCCATGAAGAGATGAAAACAAAAAAAAAGCCAGGAATCAAACAGAATTGGAAACACTGTCACTTCCAACAGAATAGAAAAAGTAAGGGACAAACCTGCAAAATGACAGGCCAAGTAAGACACAACTAATAAGGAACCAAAACAAAAAGAAATGTTTCATATGCTACAAGTCAGAGAGGAAAATGTAGGTCTCTTACTCAGTGTGGAAGGAAAACTCACAACAGATGGCACAGAAAAGACTGAAATTTCTGGTGCCTTTTTTTGCTTCAGTTTTCATAGAAAGGTTTCAAGGAGATGCCTGGCAATAATATTAACAAGGAAGTAGAAACAGTAGTCTTAAAATGTCTAGGATAAGTTTGAGGAGACAAGGTTAGCAGTCCCTAAGGACACTTAACTCATACACTCTATGAATTCGCAAAAGCAACATTGGAACTATTTATAATTGTATTGGAAAATTCTAGGCTAGATGGCTGAAGAGTGGAGAAGGGCAAAGACACTATCTAGTTTTGAAAAACTATGAACAAGGAAATTATAATAGAGATCATTCAGCCAAATTTCAGTGTCTGAAGAACACCCTATGAAATTATTAAACCATCAGTTGGCAAGCAACAAGAGATGAGAAATAGCCATTATGTATTTGTCAAGAATCAATCATGAAAAGTCAGTCTAGTCCTTGCTGCAATAGGCTAATTGACTTAACATATAGGCAGAAGAAGTAGATGTGAGATATGAGCTGAATTTGAGATACATTTTGACTTTTGTAAGTCTTTTCATTTATTCCTACTTGGACACTTATAAGCAAGTCAGGAAAATATGATCTCCATGAAAATAACATGAAGTAGTGCCTGACTACTTGAAAAACTATGCCTAATGTATTATTATCAATAATATGCTGTCAAACTTGAAGCACACATAAACTAGAGTCCTGCTTTGATAATGTCACAAAAAAGGATTAGATTAGAACAGTGCCATATGCAAGATAGAGAAAATAATTACTGAGCTTTATTTGGTGGTGCTATGACCTCACCTGAAGTACTTAATCCAGGCTAGAAGATGGTACTTCAAAATGGCATAAAAAATTAGAGAAATTCAGAGATGTGTCATGAAATGATACAAACAAAACTTGTCTAACATTTTTACTTTGTCATGAAAAAGAAACAGAGAGGGACATGAAAAATGAGAAAATTCAGTGAGTTAAACTCTAATTTCTATAAAAAGTGGCTATTCAATTGCACTGAATGCAGGACAACATGATTTCTTTTAAGGGCTATTTAAAACTGAGAAACCCCTTCTAAGTGTAAGGATATTCCAGCACTGGAACATGTTACCTCAGAAAGTTGTGAAACTCTCTCAGGATCAGTAATTTCCCAAGCAAAAATGTGTCAGTGCACCTTATTCAGTCATATGCTAGGATAGATGAATAATATCACCTTGAGGTCTCCTCATGATCTGAATTTTGGAGAATCTCAGAAACTCCCTCATAGATGGATTTAAAGTATCTGCACAGTCACCAGAGAAGTGCCCAGCAGAGGGAGCAGGGCAATTACATTTATTTTAATTTAACAGTAGCTAAAAGAGTTGCCTTGTCTGAGGAGTCCTGTGCCATAATTCTTACAACCTAAACCAGCTTTTGTAATTCAGCTATTAATACATGGAACTGGAGTTCCTAAGAAAGAATAAAACAGAGCCACTTTTCTGTGACACTTCAGCATACCTGCAGTTAACCAGAGCATGTAAATCTAATCTAGTCTGTATGTAGCAAGTACAATTTACTGTATATTAAACTTAGTCTGAAACCTTTACTTCAGTTTCAAATGTATGGGGCACTGTAGTCCCTAGTATTGACTGATGTAAGTTATCTTCAATATAAAGCCTAATTCAGTCAGAGAAACAATAAATATTTTATAATTCTAGACGGTACTCTCTACAGGCTTACATTTTGTCAGAAGATCCTGTTCCTTAAAATCAATACCATTTCATTTGTAACATCTGTGGTGCAAAAGTAGTTTAAGAAAGTAGTATCAGAAAGCTTTGTAATTCTGCTATAAATATGTAAAGATTGACTTAAATTGACTTCTGTCATCAAAAAATTTATTTTGTCTTTTGATACTACTTCTACTCACCCTAGCCTGCATAGTTCAACAGCAGTTAGTTCATCACTTCCACAGACCATAACAGCCCAACAGGCATTTCTTCTGACTTCTTCATTCTTAGAATGCAGCAATTCAACGAGTGGTCCCAGCCCGCCTGCATTTCTTAACTATCAAAAAAAGTGAAAACATTGCCATTTACATATTTCGTCTATCCCAGCAAGAACAGCCTGTGAAATTCTCCCAAAGCATCCAGGCTTTGTAGAAAAGATACACAGGGCTGAAAAAAAGGTCATTTATGGGGATTCTCTGTTTCTGTGAACTCTGCATAGGCTGGAGCTTTAGAGTGGTATGAGGCAGACATCCCTTCTGGCTCTGCCCTGCTTTTCAGTTATTAGGCTGCGGTGTGGAACCCAAAGAGACTATGCAACCCAAGACTGCCACAGAGAGTTACACAGTTTTTTCCGTGTTCTGGTGCCTCCTAGCAACAAATTTACATCACAATACATTTGAATTGGTATTGTATGTATGACAATCTTATTAACATCCTATTCTCTTGTGTGTTACAGTATCTTTCCTATACATGCTGGAGGAAATATTGCTCATTTGGATTTTTGAAGAGAAAGACATTTTAAGGACACTGAAAGAGGTAGATTAATTATCTATGCCCCTTATTCATGTCCTAATTAATAGCCTTGACCCATGAGAAAACTCCAGCTTATGATATATGAATGCACATAGCATCATTCTTATTTATGAGAAGAAAATACTATGACCAATTCATAAACAGCAAAGAGTTCAACTTGCTGGATGTCACTGATCAAAGGATTAATTATATTTTGAGTTTTGTTTGAAATATATTTACTCCATGCGCATCCAGTATCTCATTAATCAAGATCAGACATTGCCATTCAGGCCTTGAAAATGGGCAACAGAACACTGAGGGAGAGTAAAGAGGACTGAACTTCTCATCTTCAAAGTTCAGCTTACAGTTGCAGCTGAAAGAAACCTTGATGTTTAATGCACCTAAATATACAGACCAAGATATAGTGCTGGTTAAAGCTCATTGAAGTCACTGAAAAGCTCCAAAGCATTAATTTGGTGCAAGCAAACACAGAAGTGAAAATTCAAGTTAAAGAAAACCCTTTCCAAAGTCTCCTAAAATACTGAGCTAAATTCAGCAGAACAAGTATCACAAAAATAAGTAACTACCTAGAAAGCTCAGGACTTCTAGGTCAGACACAACAGATTCCTAGTTAATATAACCCCCACCTCAGATCTAGAAACATTATCAATAAGCACAGCCTCAAAGAGTAGTTTTACCTCAGTTCGTGCATCAGCATCACAACCAAAGGCAGCCACAGCAAATGCTGCTCTGCTCTGCACTTGGCTGTTGGTTGAGCGCAGAGGCCCCACAAGGGCACTCATGATACCCTGGCTCTGGATATTGACGCGGGATGGCTCTTGCAGGGACAGATTTGTTAGCACTGCAATGGCATTGGAAATGGCTCCATCTCTCTGGGCGTTCAAGGTGTTCATTAATGGCTCAATTCCTTCAGCCTCGGCAACAATACTAGCAAGATGAAAAAAGGGAAAAAATTGTTATTTTAGGACGATTTTTCTTCTCAGTATGCTGTTTTTACCAACTAAATTAGTATTACAATTCAAGGTTTACATTTATACAAACGCATATCTGTACTTATAAATGTGTGTGTGTGATTTCTATGTGACTCACAGTGAGAAGTTCAAGAGGCACAACCTCAGCAGACAAACCAAGTCACAAACTTCTGGATTCTTTAATTTAAAAAGACATGGATTCTCTCTGAGGTATTGATCAAGTCAATTAAATCCTGCATATTTTCAAAGATGCAGAATTTCTGTATCTTTAGTTCCAGGCGAATGCTTCTGCAGCCTATTACCACCTCTCCCCATAAACATTCTAGCACTTCTAATGAGGATTATAGTGAACAGACTATCCAGATCAACTAGTCTATGAACAGCAGATCCAGTTTACATATTCCCTCTGTTACCAGATGACATTGTATCCATGGCTGAAGGGTGCTGCCCCTAAGCAGTGCTGGAACAAATGGTTGTGTGACCAAGTTCTAAGATAGACATGGAAAATAATCTTATTTTGTTGTTATTTCAATATATATTAATGTTATTTCAAATAACATTGGAAGATGGTTGGGATTTTTTTCTAAGGAGAATCTCATAGATTTATGTTGGAGAACAGTCAAGGAAAAAAACAAACAGCTGAGGAAGCATTATTAATGAAACAGCAACTTTGAGCACAGGACAGCAAAAGGTGTAAGGAGCTGCACCACTAGAGGATATATAATTTTACTTAAGGCTCATCTGTTTGTTAAATAAAAGTTGGCAATATTGTTAGCAATGGGAATGCACATATGGCAAGTTGAATTCTCACTGCAACTGCTTTTTAGACCCTCTATTAATATGCTGTCTAGATCAAAACCATAAAAAAACTCTTCAAAAAAAGAGTTTAATATTTTTTATAAGTTTTGCTAAATTTCTCTGAAAACAGTAATAAAAAAGATCTTTACATGAAAATTTTTTACCTTAACAGTACCTTACCAAAATTTTACTAATATTTGGATAACTTTCACAGTTACAAAATAAACCAAGCTAAGAAGTATCACATATAAATCACTATACTACCAAAGACTGTTGGCATTGATAACAAACAAAAAAACCATGATGAACGCTGACAGTCACACCTTTATGCAAAGAGAACAAAAAGTAGAATATATGCCAACCTGAGCTATTAATAATGCAGTGGCTGCTCACAAGCAGTGCTGGAGCAGGGATCTAACAGTGTGTGGCAGGCAGACAAAGTTACTTGTTCGGAAAACCAGGGAAAAAGCAGCAATCCAGGGACTGAAGGTGCAGCATTAAGATACAGGGTCAGTTTGGTATTGCCTAATTATCCCTCCTGGAGACCAGTAGTTTTAGTGCAAACACTTTGGTCTCCATTCAGAAAGTAAATCCCACATTTTCACATGTCCCACACTGCACTCCTCTGTCTTCCCTCAAGTAGCTGGATTTCCCTTTGTGTGTCCTCCTTTCCTTTTCCTCCTAGACCAGATGAAGAAGAGCTGAAAATATTTTATTTTTTGGGTGGCTTTTTTTCTTGTGGTTGTTTTGGGTTTTTTAATTAGGTAAATCCAGTATACTTCTTTGGTTAATGTTGTCTTATCTTGCTCATGAAAATTTTATCCAAATTTTCAGCTTCCGGACTGTTGTAACTATCCAGGCTGCTGTATGTGAAGAAATTCTGGACATGCTGATTGTACATGTAAAAATGAGCTGTACACCACATGTATCACAAGCTTGCTGGAAAACATCACATTAACAACACGTGTAACAATGCCATGAGGTACCTGCTGGCACAGCTGAGGTGAGACTCACCATACACACACAGCTGCACACAGTGAGGTGTGTCCATGAGCTATCAGATTTACTGCATCATGCAGTGCATACACACACACTTTATCCAGGAAGGAAAAAGATCAAAACCAAAATCAAGCAGTTTCTCCTTCGCAATGGACACACAGAAATTCCAGGATTTATGGGACAGATTCACTACTCATAAAATGCATCACTGCATCTTACAGGTGTAGTATATCCAATATTTCTGCACTAAGTACAGGACTTTGTATTCCTACACTACACCCAAGAATACACATGTTCTCCCACAGGAGCTCCTAGTAAACATATAGTCCCTAACAGATTGGCTACAGAATGGTACACAGCACTGAATGACGTAGCCAATCACATCATAAGCAGATTTACTATAATTTCCATAAAACCAGCAAGTACACAAGCACTTAACAAAAGAGCAAGGTGACGGCTCCTCATGTGTTCAGAGCTGACCTCAGCAAGGTACAGAGCACAGCCAATTTTCTCAAGTGCCACTCAACTTCAAAAGGGTTGAGAACCACTGATTTAGAAGATCATACATATTTATTTCTATCCAGTGTTCTACTTCTGCGCAGACTCGTTTTGAATCCCAGTTTCATGCATATAGTTTAATCAAGTAGCACAACTAAGCACAAGACAAAAAGAATTTGTTTGAAGCGACAATTGCTGGTAACAGGAGTTGAAGGTAACCAATACCTTTGAGAATAAGTTTTTAAGAGTGTGTGAACACCTGAGGCCTGTTCTGTGTCCTGGTTACAGAGATGCACATGGAAGGAGGAATGAGGAATCCATAGTTCACATCAATCCTACTCCACAAGCCTCTGAGAACACAGAAATAGCACTGTCACTCTGGGCCACACAACCTGACCTCAGAAGGGAGTTGAGAGAATGTATACAGTTAAGTTTAAGGTGCTGAAATACAACCAACACTAACTGTGGAGGTCCTTGCTCCCTTTAATCTTGAGCAGAGACATGCACTGTGTAATTTTTTTTCATTATGAGGCAACGAAAGTCAGAGAATGCTTTTACCATCTCTGTGTTTGCTTAATGCAGAGGAGCACTAGACTCTCCCTGCCTCCAGAACACTCTCCTTCAGACACATCCTACTGAGACCGTGCAATTTATCAGTGCTTCCACTACAGAACTATATCCTCAAAGAAGAAGAGAGCCTTGGTTTAGCTGAAAACATGTAGAAAAGGAATAAATCAAATAAATTCAGGTTTTTTCCTCTATGTTTTGTATATATTCAAAATACATACTTTCCTAAACAAGAAGAAAAAAGATAGGGAAAGGGAAAGAAAACAACAAGAGAAGAAGAAAAAAAGGACCTTGCATTTGCCATGTCACCATTTTTCCTCAAAAGTGGAAGCTGCCTATCTGAACTACAAACAGGAAGAAAAAAAAGAGACAAGACAGGTGTAGCAATTGCAGAGCTTAAATTAAAGTTAAATAATTAAAATATTATGAATTATAAGCATATATCATGATCCTTAGAACGGCTAACCTAACAGGTTAGCCATTTACCTTAATTAAGGTACACACAATTCAGGTACAATAAGGACCCCAAGCATGCTCTTTAGTGAAGCAGTAAAATTCTGATTACAATTGGATTCAAATTACTGTATTCAAGAATAGCTAAAATATTTTTTCAACTATCATTAGGAAGACAAGTATTAAAAAGTCATATAATAAATATTTAATGTATTAATTTTAAATATACATTGTAATGTTAAGACATTTTCTTGAAAATTCTCTAAAAGATAATTCAAGACTCAAAGAATAATGCTGAGAGACTGGGGAAAAACAAACATTTTCTTTACTGCTTTTACTGCAAAAATAAATTAAAAGCTCACAATAAAATCATTACCAAAAACTTCACAATATAAACTTTTTTTTAACAGACATTTTGGAGATGTGTATGAATATCACTGAAGTGAGTATTTTGTTGCTTTAGTTGTCTGGGGTGCAACAGGAAAGCTCAGATACTGGGAGTGTGTTGTGAAAACAATCTGCAGTAAAAATCTGATAAAAATCCTGTGGGGGTTCTATACTTTATTTTATTTTTAGTACTATAAGCACTCTGCAGCAAGAACCGCCTCTTTGTTGGCATCACAGGAGCATAAAAGCTCTGGTCTGTGACCAAACATTCTAGCTACAGCAAGAAAAATACCGGATTATTTACTTAGAGCATTGTGAATGGTCCAGCTATCTTTTCCTCCTGAAGAGAAAGTCTAGCCTAAGGGAGAAAGCAACTAAGAATGTTCAAAGAGCTGCCAGAAAACACTGAGATTGCTCCTCAAACCCCCAACCTAAACAATCTCCGGGGGAGGGAAGATAGAGGAGAAGAGCAGTGGTACAGCTTGACACCACTGTTTACTCAGGATTGTACTAAATTTACACTAGTGAGACTGACACTTCATAAAAATGGTAAAGTATGTTTGGTTTTGTTTCTTCTACCATGACTGAACATAAACTGGCTTATATTCAATTATATTTTTATTCACTTCTATGCTGTTTACTCCTCTGCTCCTGACTGAGGATTTAACACAATTTCTGCTCAGAAAAAATTCAAATTTTTCCTCCTCACTGGACTTCATTTTCTTCAAATGTGTTTGCAACTGCATGTTTAATTTCTGTGCAAAATTACTGTGATTGTGTGTGAGGTGCTTAGCTAGCCATTTATGCCTGTGCATAGCTCATTTTCATACATAATTACATGTAAATTATGCATAAGAATTATGCATCTAATTACACACATTTTTTAAAATCAACTCTATCTGTGTTAAATCGCATGACTTCTTTTTCACACAAGGCATTTTTGATCCAGCTCTCTTATGCAATTTCTGTCTGAGAAAAAATATCATAACCAGAAGTTTGAGAAAGCCTCAAGATATATCCTCTTTTTAATTCCTTAAATATATTAGTATTCTTCATTAGCCTTGTTATGCCATCAGAATAATCATATCCAATAAATGTCTTCTGCACTTACCAAAATTTTCACTTTGTGATTTAATTATTTTCAAAAGCAATTGCCTGTTGTAAATAATCACTCGTATTTCATTTAAAGACTAATATTACTTCTGTTTTCTTCACTATACAAGGGAAATTAATGTCAGTATGTTTATTCTGAGTAAGGGAATCTAGCACAAGAGACTCTGATCAACAATCTGGGAGCCCTTTGTGCTCCAATAAAAATATTGATATCAACAAACCATATTAATTTTTCATTTCAGGAACTGAACCCTCTATTCCTATTTTCTAATGACGAGTATCTTGTTAAAACTGCAACAAAACCAAAACTCAATAAACCCCACAGTCTTGATGTAATAAAACCTTAAACTGCCTGGGTTAGCAGAGACTGTAATACCTGACCTTCATTCAGCAATTCACAGAGATCTAATGTCTATCATTGAACTTATCTGACAAAGTTAGAGATCTCAGTTCTAAAACTAAAGTATACCTAATTTAAAATATTAAAGGAGCATTGGTAATGAATTATCTGTTCATGACGCCTGAGACTTTCAGTTATAATACTATTTCCAACCTTTTGTAAAGAATTTCTGATATTTCCAATATTATGTGGAAGGCTTGAAATTCAACAACAGAAACTCTTTTTTGTTCCTAAAAGATCCCACGTAGCTTCAGTCAGGATGAGCTCATGAAA